TGTGGCTACCTTTGAAGCCCGTTGCTTCAAACAAATGAAGACGGGGTACTTTTTGCCGTCGGAGTCCCCGAGAAGCATCGCCGTTGCGCGCTCCTTGTCCTTCCCACCGCATCGAACCCAGACAGTCTTGCTTCCCTTGACGTTGATGGTCTTCTTTGGCAGGTACTCGTAGAAAACAGCGGTTTGGTCGGCATTATATACCTTGGATATATTATTGCTTCGCATTATCTAGGCATTCCAAATATTTGTGAGATATCAGAATAACCCATATATAAATAATGTAGTAGTAGTAACTACTAATATAGGGCAAACCTCTTTTACACGATTGCTAAAAGACGCTACTGCTTCGTCAGCTCCTTCGTCTTTGTCTTGACCTTGACGAGTGCGCATTCGAAGAGACAACTTGTGACGGTTTCGAAAACCGTTACACCAATCTTGAGATGCTCGAAATTGATTAGGTAAAATACCCTTCTCAACAGCAACTTCTCTTGCCTTCAATTGCAGCATGATGGTAGCCACAGGGATACCTTCATTACGCATGCTCTTAACCCATTGAACTAAATTCAGCTCAGTCTCGGCACTCAAGCTGGTCCCAATGCCTTCTCCGCGCGCCTTCTTGAGATGACTCCGGCTTGAGTAACCATACTCCTCGATCAGTGCGCGTTGTCGTTCCCACTTGTTGAGATTCAAACACGCCCTCCGACGCTCGACGCCACGCAGTAGCGGATAGAAGTGGTTCAGCGCCGCTGTTGTGCCGTGAAGGTGTTGGTAGTTGATCATGTCGAGTTTCTCGCGGAAGGTGTATGCTTTCTTGATGTACTGGCGTGGTTGACGTGGGCGATTCCCGAAGATGGTTGGTCGACCGGGGGATATCACACCGAACCGGTTTCCTCGCTGAGGACGTGACAAGCCGCCCGGTGCCCCATGAACGAAAGAGTCCTCCCCCACGTAAGGGTCCTCACGCACGATTGCGTTAACGACAGCGTTCGTCGGCAGAATTTCTCCTGGGGGAGGCTCCATTACGCTTGAGCCTTACTCTGCTACGCGCTGGACCGACTGTTTGTAAAATGTTGTGGCTGTGATGTGTCAAAAGGAGCCGAGCCTTTGAATTTGTATATTTATTTGACTTGAGAGGTATCAGTTTGTTGAGGCAGTAGATTGACTATTTACCTCAAAACATTATATTTGATTAATGGGTAAGAAATATTGAAATCTGGAGGATGTACCACTTGATGCTCTTAACATCGTGATCGCTTTAACATACGAAGTACGGTATGTTCACCGAGTTTATCCAGTCGGCACAACCTCAGATCCAACCCAATGTGGCCGGCATCGACATGGGTACTTCAAGCCCAATCTTGAATGACTATTATCAACGAATTCTACGCTAAATTGGCATTTCATCAATGTGACGGAAGGGTTGGCATTATATTACTACCTCTGTCATATACTACGTATATGACAGAGGTTTTGACTCCAACAAGTAACGACATGTGATTGGACAATACAAAGTAATCCTAAATTGGTAAACTGGTCATGTAATAACTGTTTAGGGCGGGTCTGGATGCCACGAAAAATGGCATAAAATGGCCGTTTTCCCAAGAAAAGTTGGCAAAATCGAAATATTCCATTTTTCGAGAATTTGTACGTCTGGATGCCACCAAAGTTAATTACTTTATGCCACAATTTTCTTGAGAATCGAGTGTTTTATGGCATAAAAAATGGACCGATTTGGTCCAACTTTTTTATGGAGGTTTGTGTTCACGTTGAATGCACTTCAATCGGAAATCGAATATAATTTTTCCAAAATTCAGCTGGTATCCAGTCAACTTTATAGAGATACTTCTTTTCTCCTTTTTTTCATGGGATACTGTATCAGACTTTGGAAAAAATTGAAGACTTGCCAAAACGGTTTATGGCATAATTTTATGAGGTGGCATCCAGACCAGCCCTTAACATTTTTATTATCACTTTGCGCCTTGATTATATTATCATGTAAACTGTAGTAGCTAAATAGGACCTAAATTAGGAATTCTATCCATGAATGTTTTGTAGTATTTGAAAATATAGGCGTTCTATCAAGGCTTGATTATACCTTGGAGCAGGAATTTAAAAAAAGACGAGGCAGTCCGATTTGGGAATCCCAATTAGGGTTGGACCTAATTAGGATTCCCAAACCGGTCTGGCAACACACGTCATCCAACTTATTGCCCCTCTGGACGGGAGTGAGTGACGCAGCAGCAAATCGCATCATCATGTGGAGCGCGCTCTTTGGTTCAGACGAGACCCCTCGGCCAGAGGGAGATGATGATCAGCAAGACAAGGTGTATGGAGCGGGAGAAGAGCCGGATGCCATGCAAATGCTGCTCGGGAGGTTGACCAACCTCATGGAACGACTTGGCGAAGCTGAATACTCCAAAAAGCAATGGGAGAAGCAAGCGCGAAGTCTGCAAGTGTCCAACGAGCAACTCAAGTACGAGTTGGAGTACAGCAGCGACGCGCAGCTGCGGGAGCGCATCGACGATCTCACAGCCATGAACGAAGCGCTCAAGGAGGTCAAGGTGACGTTGGAGAAGGACGCAGAGGCGAAGGACACCTTGCTTCGCACGCATGAGGATGACATCGCACGACTCACCGACGCGCTTCGTGCAGGCTCTTTGGAGAAGGAGAACATGGACCACAAGTTGGAGCAGCTCAAGGTCTCGAGCGCGGAAGACTTGGAGCGGCTGAGTCTCAGCTTGGAGAGACAAGCCGCGCACGTCGCTCGTTTGGAATCTGAATGCGAACTGCATGCTCAAGGGCGGCAGCAGGATTCGCAAACTTTCCATTCCATCGAGGAGGACCTTCGGGGGACCATCGCGTCCTTGCAAGCCGAAGCCGCCCGCCGCGACATCGAAGGAAAGGCGACGGCCGACCGCATCTACGCAATGGAACAGCACTTCCAAGGCGAATTGGATCGCCAGAAGCAGCTCGAAGACACGTTGCGTGCTGCGTGTGCCTTGTACGAAGGCCAAGTGGATGCGGAGAAAGCCAAAGCGGCATCGATCGAGCTCAAATTGGAGCAGTTTCAAGCCGAGCTGGTGACCAAGGCCGCCGTGGAAGCGCAATCCCAATGGAAGGAAGACGCGCTGCGGTCGCTCACCCATCAAGTGAAGGCGGTGCAGAAGGAGCTGTCGGACGCATTGCAGTTGAATCTCGAGCTAACCAACCACGTCGACACCATCGAGCGGGCCAAACGCACGTTCATGGCCGACTTGGAGCGCGACCGCGTTGCTGCCGAAGTTGCTACGAAAGCGTTCAAGCAGCAGCTGGTTGTGGTCGAAGCTGACTTGGCCGCCCAGAAACTGTCGGCAGAGGCGGCGATCGAGGCCAAATCGCACGAGATTGCCGACCTCCGACAGTCGATTTATGGGTTTGAACAGGTCATTGCAACTGCGACATCGAATGAGGACACGTTGCGCGCTGAGCTGGAGACGATGCACGGCCGCATGACGCTCTTGACGGCGGAAGTTCAAGCTGTGGACCGGGACTGGACCACAAAGTACGATGCGTTGCTGGAAGAGTGGCATGTAGCTAAGCAAGTTGCTGCGGATCGAGAAGAAGCCAACAAGGCGTTGGCCGACCAAGTCGACGTGTTGAAGCGAGCGGTGGACGACGCCCAAATCAACGCGGCGGCAGCGGCCCAAGTTGGTCAGTTGCAGGCAGAAATTGCTCAACTGCAGGCAGAAATTTCTCTAGAACGGGAGCAGTTTCACGCCCGTGCGGAAGCTTCGCGGGTCGACGTGGAGCAGCTGCGCCAGTCTGTGACAGCGTTGCAAGGCGATGTGGCCACGTGGGAACAAGCGGCGGCCGACGCCACGGCTCAAGTCGAGTTGCTGCGCCATGAGAACGAAAACCTGACCAACTTGCACGCGAACGCGGAACGAGCCGCCCTGTCGGCCTTGGAAATGGAGAGGAAGTCGTGGGTGTCCGCCGCGCAAGCGTCGGCGGAAGAGATCGAAAAGCTGGCGCAGCGTCTCAGCCAATCGCAGGCCGAGGAACGGCACGTGGCAAGCTTAGAAGGCAGGATCGCCGACTTGGAGGGTTCAATTGCAGAGCTCAATACGCGACATGCAGCGGATTTGGGTCGTTTGGACGAGCAACGCAAGGCGGAGGTGGAGGCATTGCGTCAGCAAGTGGCGAATTCACAAGAATTTGCGACAGAGTGCGAAGCCACGGGGTTGGAGTGGGAGGAGAAGGCCGACGCGTTGCTGGCCGAGTTGGCGTCGGCGCAAGAGCAACTCCGTACAGTGGAAGTAGCCGCCGACCAGGGAAGCCAGATGCTCGCGAACGAGTTGGAGGCCGCAAAAGTGGCCAAGGACGAGGCGCTCGCGCAGCTAGAGGGGGAACGTCGACGGGGAGATGACCTGGACCTCCAGGTGGCGCAAAAGCAGTCGGATCTGAACCTCGTCACACAAAACTTGAACGAGACCAAGGGACATTTGGATATGGTCAAGGCGGAGCTGCAGCAGGCCAAGCAGGGGGCGGCGGAGGCGGCCCGCCACGCAGCGGACGCTCGACGCGCGGTCGAAAAAGAGTGGAAAGATGACTTGGAACGGGCACTGGCCCAGCGCCAAGAGCTGGACGCGGCGCTGACGGCATCGCAGGATCGCGTTTCTCAGCTGGAAACGTCTGTCCATCACGAACATGCGACGGCGGCGCAATGGGCGGCGGAGAAGCAGGCGCTGGAGGCGTCTTTAGCATGTGAACGAAGCGCGGTTGTCGAGCTGAAAGCGGCGCACGATTCCCTTTTGCAAGAGATCATGACGGCGACTCGCCACGTAAAAGACAAGGACGCGCAGGTGGCGGCGTTGACTTTGCAGTTGGCGGCGCGAACCGACGAGTTCGAACAAACGACCGAGCAACTTCGCCGTGACGTGGCGCAGTCTCAGGCGATGGTGGGAAACGTACACGCGTCGGCCGAGATGGCGAGCCAGAACCTGGAAGACCACATCCGGGAACTGCAGGAGCAAATGCATGCGCACAACAACAAGTTTGAAACCGAGACGGAAGACCTGCTCGAAGAGATCTCGAGCCTGAATGGCCAAATCTCGGAGCTCCAAGTTCAGAACAACGTGCTGAGTGCGCGCGCGCACCGCCTGGCGAGGGATTTGGCGCAGTATGTCAAGCTTCCCGCGGATGACATGGCGCTGGTGCTTAACCCTAACACGCCCAACCTGTGGGAGCTGCTCGCGAACGGGATGGAGCAACTCAAGTCAGACTTGGAGGTTGCGAGCACGTACGCGGCCAACTTGGACCAGATGGGCGACGAACATGGGGGCATATTTATCGATCACCCTGCAACATCGTCGTCGTCGTCCCCAGTCCCCCACGATGGAGTGGTGGCACCGTGGATTCAGTAGTACACTGTAGAAGTAGACAGATCAAAACATGCAGATAGGATGCACATATATATATATATATTAATAGATCTATCAAGTGAGAGTGTTTCATATCACCTGCTATTAATAGTATAAATAAATTGACATATTGGGGATTCGGTACGAAATTCCAGTCCCCGCCAAATCGAATCACGCCGTCCAATCGAATCACGAATCGACGCTATTGGCTGATCCAATTTTGAGTGGATTTGATTGGCTCTTACAGAAACGACAAGTATTGTCAGCCAATCAGAACTCCAGCGTGATTCAATTTTGATTAGACAAACCTCGCGAATTTTGGATTGTTAATAGCGAATTCACAATAATTCGGACAGAAACAAGTTTGACCTGCCAAATTTTACTGCATGATATTCAATCAATAAGTAGTACTCATTCAATCCTAGCTGGCCTCCAGAGGTCACATTAATATATTTTCAAATATATATTTTTTCTCACCTCCCATTTGAAAAGGGAATGCTCTGTCAGAATATTGACATCCTGAGTAGGCCTAAACAAGAAACTGTGAGTATTGTCCTTTTACTGATTCGCCAAATCTATGCATGGATTCTTTATACTGACTTTTGTATTTAAAACTGGTCAAGTGTCGTCACACTAATTTCATTCACACACTAATTCAATGTAGACTTGGTCAAAGAGTGGATTTGATTGGCTACGAGTGCTCCGCTCAATCGAATCACGCCGACCAAACCGATCACGAATTGCTCGCTCCCATTGGTCAATCTAAAAATTACTCTTCACTGATTGGCTACATTCTTTTTTCCTATACTTCGCGCTTTCTGCGGAATAGGGACAGCCAATGAAACTTCGCGGCGAGATTCGGGATCGGTTTTACGAATCGCGCAGAATTGGGAAATTATTTGCTGCAAATTACTCCAAACATTTGTGTTGTTTATTGTGTAGTAGTTGGTTGAATATTAAAGCAGCTAGAACATTTATAAACACTGAAAAATGGTGGAATTTGGTCTCTATTTGTAGCTACAAGGTTCTGTCGTCACCCACGATCTGCTCGTCGTCACCTTCGTCGTCCATTGGACTATCTCCCAACAATTCATAGCTGCTGTCGTCATCAAACTCGTCATCGCCTCCTTCCGAACCGTCTTCGTCGACCTGGTCAGCATGATTGCTTCCCCCGTCCATGCCGCGTTCGTCATCGTGTGCTGCTACTTCATCGTCGGACGACAAAAGGGAGCCACGACACAACGGACATTCAAATCTAAACATGTAGTAGATCAATATATATATATATATATATATATTCATGGGTGTGAAGTTAGGACCTCGTGCGCGCAAACTTGGCCATGCTCTTGAAGCACGCCATGTGCAGAATGTGTCCGCACCGGAGGATCGACGGGCTTTCTCGTGAATTGAACATGTCCTAATATACAGCACGACAACATCAACGACCAAGATAAATAGGGCCAGATTACTACCTCCAAGCAGATGCAGCATTCCTACACAGAAACGTTCAGAACGAACATTGCGAAGTACGCTTAAAAATACCTTGAGCATCGCCTCACTCACGCACTTATGGGTCGACTGCCCAGAGATGGGGTAGCACCCGACACATGTACCACTACGAAACGACTAACATTAGACAATTTATACTATGTAAAATGCATCAAAAATAGTTTTAAAAAACAATTACTTGCTGCTTAGATATATGTACAGAATGTATGGGATGGAGCGAGGCTTATATTACCAGTGAAAGAAATTGTCGCGGCCGCCGACTCTACAATGACATTATTGATCATGATGATGCTTTATTGATCATGATGTATTTATATATATATATATATATATACTTTAGTATATTGTCGATTCGAAAATGGAGTGTTTGGGGTGGTCAATCGAATGACCAGACTAACCAAATCGGCAGACAATTGATGATATATCGAACAATTAAAACCGCGATCAAGAATCAAGTAATTAATCAAATCCACTATTTTTGACCAATTTTCAACATCGAATTAGTGTGTGACTAAAATTAGTGTGAAACTGGACGATAGTACAAACAAATCGATCGATAGATTTGGCAAATCAGTACAAAAGTCAGTCAAAGTTGGGGAAAATGGACAATATATGGATGGCTACGCTGAATGGTACTACCTGCAAATACCGCACTGGTCGCAATGGAATATGGCCTTGTCGCCGCCCTTGTGGTCGAATAGGTTGCAGACTGTACGCAGGGACATGCGTGATGATGATGAGTGATGATCGCAGGAGGATGGAAGGGTACACACCACTGCAAAAGTACTGCCCGAGCACATGCTTGCACTTTTCGCACGTCTTTTGAGGCTAATGCGAGTAGGAGGTTGTCATGGACATTCATGGTGGTGAAGGCGGTTGGCGGAGGATGGATGTACTATACCTGCTGCTCGCACCGACACTTGCGGCAACGGACTCGCTTCACCGCATGTCGATTCATTGCGTGCTGCATGACACATGTTGGATGAGATTGGTGGATTGTTTATGGAGAACATCATACAGAATGCACAGCACACATCGTATACAAGTGCGTACGTCGCTCTCGTCGTCGTGGCAGAGTCGGCATGGAAACCATTCCCCGCAGCAGTCCGCCAAGAGATGGCACCCTATATGAGACATCACGCCTCCAATACAGATGAAGCATGCAATGCAGGCACCTCGTTCGTAGTGCGAGCAGCTCATGTATGAACGAAGGCGTCGGTGGTGGGACTCTGGTTTGAGCGCTTCAACGAAAATTGATGCCTTTGCCACAATGAGTATGTATGGGTCCCCCCCACCCAAGTCAACTTATTTGACCCCTACCCCGCTAAAAACAGGTTTGGTTTTCATCGGAAATCGATCGCGGGACAATCATCGACCATGGAGATCGAATGGGGCGATGGCAGTCCGTTCAGTGACTTCGAGGAAGAGCACAACACCAGCCATCACGGCGACGACGACAATAGCCATGTCAATGGAGCTGCCGCCAACAACGAGGATGCCTCGGACGACGACGACGCATGGGAGGATGTCGGCAGCATGCCGCACAACGACGGCGGTGGTGTGTTGTCCGACAACAGCGATCACATGGAAGACGCTGACGGCAGCAACGACATGCACGTGGAGCACCTTCCAGAGGACTGGGACGCACTAAACGCTGCCTTGAACGCGCAGGCAGCTGCAGAAGGCGACGGGAAGCGGACTGGAGCCAAGCCAAAGGTGAAGCGCTTGACAAAGGTCGAAAAGAGTGAGTGGATGGTGCAGCGCCAGGCGCATCTCGTGTGTCTCTTGGCTCGGGAAGTGCACGTGAACCGCGCCATCAACGACGTGACCGTTCAATGTCTTCTGCGCTCGATCGTGCCAGCGGCCGTCGACGTCAACTTGTCCACCCAAGCGCATCAGGGCGTGGTGTATGCAGTGCAGACGCTCATGCGATGGTTCCGACTGGCGTTTCGACGGCGACCTTATGCCGCCAACGAAGGTCAAGGTGCCATCGACTTCGACGTAACACCTGCATCGTTGCTGCGCGCGTTCTTCCATCGACAAGGGCACGACCATGAAATGGTTGCGCTGTTCACGGCGCTGTGCAGGTCGTTCAACATCTCCACTCGATACACTGTTAGTTTGGACGTACCGTACGTTTCCAAGCGGAATGCTTCGTTCGATCATTGGTTTGGGGTGGACGTGTCAAGCAGCAACGACACGGTGTCGCAGAAACCGTCCGATAGGACGAGCATGCGAAGTTGGTGCGAAGTGTTTTCTGAAGCTAGCCACAATGCAACAACGGCCAGCAAACACCCGACTTCTTCCTGGGTCCATGTGGACATCCTTCGAAACATTGTAAACCAGCCCCTAGAAGTCGGACGCGTGCGCGGGCGCGGCGCCGTGATGCCCCACATTGTGAGCCTGGACGACCAACTCCGCGCGGTGGACGTGTCTCGGACGTACGCGGTGGATTGGGCACGGACGCAGCCGTTGCGGTGCAACGAAGCGTGGTGGGCGAGGCAACTCCGAGTGGGCGATAGCAACGCCAACCCCATCGACGTCGCCAATGACAGGTTGCCGCTGCCCACCAGCGTCCATGGCTTTAGAAACCACATGCAGTATTGCTTGGAGCAGCATTTAGGCATGTATGAATGGGTTCGACCTCGAAAACCCGTGGGTGTGTTCAAGGGCCTGCCAGTGTTTGAACGATGCAATGTGCACACGCTCCAGTCTGCGCACCGGTGGCTCCGGCAGGGCCGGGTGGTGCTGGAGGCTGAGGACCCGTGCAAGTATGTGGCCAGGCGGCAGCAGCACCTCCCGCCGCCACCCTCGCAAACCTCCATGTATGCCAACCCCGTGCCATTCTCGGTCGCTACAGCCGTCGTAGCCGCCAACAAGGACAATGATGATGAGGAGGAAGAAGGTGGAGATAAACAGCTGCCGCTGTACGGCTTGTGGCAGACTGACAAGTACATTTCGCCGCCAGTGGTCGATGGAAGGATTCCCAAGAACGAGCACGGGAACGTTGAAGTGTGGAGCCAGGCCCATCTTCCCCAAGGCAGCGTGCACATTCGCCTGCCGCGCGCCAAGGTCGTGGCCGCGCAGCTGGGCGTGGACTTTGCGCCCGCCATGGTGGGCTGGGAACTCCGGAACGGCCGCAACGTGCCCGTTTTTGATGGGATTGTCGTCTGCGAAGACACGGCCGAGATGATCGAAGATGCGCACGCGGTGCTCGAGCAGGACATCGTAGAGAAGGCCATTGCCAAGCATCGAAAGGAAATCGCCAAGCGTTGGGCCATCTTTGTCAAGAAGCTGCTGCTCCGAAAGCGGCTGCGCGACGAATATGGATGAGAGCGTATGACATGTAAATTAACTTTGGCGTAGTTACGGCTAACTATCTGTACAGTCGACGGTGACGGCAAGGTTGTTGCCCCCTACTGCATTGCCTTTGAATAGAGAGATAGATGGCATGCAGTACAGTTTGGGACAAGTGGCCCACATCACCGGCGCTACGTCTGCTTAGCTGTAGTGTAAGCCATCCACTTGTGGCGTCAATGCTTGTGTATAGTCCCGAACACCGCGGCGGTAGGCTATCGAACGAGTGTAATGGGCTACGCATACCGCATACCCCCTGGTCGTTCTAAAACTCCCTTTCCGCCATCCCGTTGTGTGGTGGTTGCGTAAAGTCGTTTCACCATGGACTTACCTCTCACAACATAAGCCTCTGCAATTTAATTGGAAATCGGCCGAAACACGATATTAGTACAGGCTAAGAAACTTGCATATTCCGATATACTGTATACTATTATCATTGCTGGTGAGTTCTGTAGTTTGGTCGAGTATCCGGATACAAACAAAAAAACCTGTTCCAGCAGCACTCGATTTCTCCACCGCCGTCATGTCCAACCCCGCGCTGCTTCCTCGACGGATCGTGAAGGAGACGCAGCGGCTTCTGGCGGAACCAGGTAGTTCCATGGACGACGTGCATGCCTAGCACGTCCCCCTCACGTACATGTCTCTGTGTAGTGCCTGGCATCAGTGCCACGCCGTACGAAGACAACTTGCGCTACTTCCAAGTTGTGATTGCTGGGCCGCAGTCGTCGCCGTACGAACACGGTATCTTTAAACTGGAACTGTTTTTGCCTGCGGACTACCCCATGGCGCCCCCGAAAGTCCGTTTCCTCACGCGCATCTACCACCCCAACATTGACAAACTCGGCCGCATCTGCCTCGACATCCTCAAGGACAAGTGGTCCCCCGCCCTCCAAATCCGCACCGTGTTGTTGAGTATTCAGGCGCTGTTGTCTGCCCCAAACCCGGATGATCCTCTCGCAAACGACGTCGCGGACCACTGGAAGACAGATGAACCCGGTGCGCTGCGAACGGCCACCGAATGGACGCGCCGGTTTGCTTAACCAAGCAAGATGCATGTTGGCTTTGAATCGATTCAATAAACCTCCGCATAACCATTCAATATGAACGAACTCTTTAACCCCCTTCTAGCTCCGTCGTATGTCATCCTCCATTCAGCATCCTCATGTTGCAATTGCATGGTAAATGTCCATCGAAGAAGGTACCCATCACAATATGCGGGGCGACTTTGCACCGTGCAATTTCCACATATAGTTAGTTCAACTAACTACCCTTTGATTAGTGTGTTGGAGGTTGTTAGACTAGTTGGTAGTCCTGGGGCGAGTAATACTCGGTCAAGAGGCGGTAGATGTACGACGGCTGGTACGCGCCCGTGTTGGTGATGAAGATGGTGACAAACTCGGGGGGGACGTAGTCGTTAACTGGGTTGAGCACGTCGATCTAGTAGTTCGTCCTGGTGGTTAACTAGTAGTACATACTAATCAACTTACATTGTGCAAAGTGTCGTCGTAGTTGAAAATGTGCGCAGGGGACACGAGTTCGTTGAGTACATCGACATCGTGCGGGAACAACGGGCACAGCTACGCACCATGTAGTAAGAAGATTCACGAACTAGTACTACTACACTTGTACTACTATCTAGGTGTACCTTGAACAGCCCTGCTACACACACCACCGGCACGCAAAACTTCTTGGCGGCCAGCGCAATGTTCTGAATCCCAGACTCGGCAATGAGCCCTCCATTGGCCACCACGGCCACGGCCGGAATCACCACCTATGATGTTGGAATGAGTACCACCAACCACAGGAATGAGTACCAAGAATAACATGGAATGAGTACCATCGACCCCATGAATGAGTACCATCAACCACATGAAAGAGTATCATCAACCACGAATGAGTACCAAGAATAACATGGAATGAGTACCACCAACCACATGAATGAGTACCATCGACCACATGAATGAGTACCAACAGAAACTTGGAATGAGTACCACCAACCACGAATGAGTACCTTGTTGACGCGAGCCATGAGCGCGAAGACGGCGCTGTCGGGGATGAGGGTGGTGTCGATGCCGCTCTCCGCCAAGCGGTGGGCCGACGCCTGGCCGTGCAGCAGCGGCGCCGACTCGACGACGATGACCTTGAACTGGCGCTTCTTCGCCGCGGCCTTGAGGAACTCCTCCACGGACGTGGACATGCCGTACGTCAAGATGACCTCGCTGCACGAGCATGAGATGAAAGGAGGAAGGGACCAAGAGGTGACGTACTTGGCGTGGATGTACTCCATGGCCTGCTCGGCGATGCTCACATGGAGGTTTTCGATTTCGTCCATGAGTTCGCTAACGCCTTCCATGACGGATTGCTTGAGTTCCTTGATTGGCGTCGTGTAATCGGCCTCCGTCCCCGGGGTGAGGATCGTCCCAAGTGACAACTGCGATTGCGTCTGGCTGGACAACGTCTTCACGGCGTTCAGGTACTCTTCGCGGATGATGAACAGAACGCGTCGGATCACATTCCCGATCGCCAATTCCTGCGGGATCGCCTTGACGAGCACGCGACCCAACAGCCGAATGTTGTCCATCAACTGCCGCGCATGGGTCCACCGCACCGTGCCGAGAATGGAGCGCAGAAGCTCAGTGGTTTTGCGGGACGTCTCGTAGGAGCCCGTAATCTGACGGCGTTTGAGACCCACGAGGAGGTTGCTCAGCTGCGCGCTGATCTTGGGCCACGGCGCCAGCCACTGCTTCAACGCCACTTCCTCCATTCGGTCTAACGTTAGTCGATTTTTTATTCAATGTGATGGAGTAGTATTTACGCCCTTACTAGTAGTAATACTAACGATAATATACTTTCAAATCCACGGCGGCCGCTAGAATTCGCACCATGGCGGCAAATGAACCTTCGTCCCGCGGCATCACGCTCTTCCCCGACGAAGGAATCGGGCGGCCGATTGAGTACTTCCAGCCAGATGGAACGGAGGTCGCAACCGAGTGCGTCATGCATCTCTTGCCGCGATGATGATGATGTTGACGTCATGATTGTCGTGTGTAGGGAGTTGTCGGAAGTGCAGCGGTTCGGGAATATTGTCACGCAGTTGGAGAAGAGGCGACAAAAGAGCAAGAGCGCGTCCGTACATAATGCATCGAGCGGCGGAAGTGCACTGAAGCGGGCAAAGCGTGAAGCAGATGCGACCGCGACTTCCACAACAAACGATGACGACGACGCGACATCCGTTGGGACGAGTGGTGACACCGAGGCGTTCGATGACAGCGAAGCGGCCATTGACCCGCGAGCGCACTACCGGCCGATGGTGGTGGAATTGCAGGCGGCCGTGGTCGAGCTCTACCAACTCGTGAACACCGTCGACTTGGTCCGACCGAGCAAGGCTCCGAGCAAGGAACCGCGCTTCCTGGAAGACGTCCATTGCTTGCGCGATGACTCCCATCTCAAAGTGACCACGGAAGACCTGGCGTACCTCCTCACGTCAAAGTCGAGCCAAGTAAACGATGCCGCCGACATCCTCTTGAACGGGTCCAAGTCGTTGCAGACCGCGATCAAGAAGGAGCGCCAGTTCTTCACCGGCGTTCGCAACGTACAAACCACTCCATACATACCATCTGCCTATCTCATGCTCGTGTGTAGCTCTTGGGGAAGTGGAAGATCTGTGCGCCGATGCACGGCACCATTCCAAAGCCTTTCCGCGCCGGCGAAGGGCTCGCCATCGACTGCAGCTACGTCAGTGGTACGTACCTATGCTCCTAGCTGCATACATGTGTCTGATGTCTGTCGTAGCGGGGTCCACGTTTTCCCCTCTGGCCATGCCCCTCAGCTCGATCGCATTCTCCGAGGTACAACCTACCTACCTTCCATCCCTCTCTTCCATCCCTACATGTCGTCATGCGTTGTATAGCTGAGCCGCACGAGCGACGGCATGGTGTGTGTCAAGGAGCCCGAGTTTTACTTGCGTCGGACTGTCAAGGTATGAGAAGCTCATCAAGAGGCAGCTCTTATCATATATATATATATCATTAGATCACGCTGGAGAACGAAGCCACGTCGTCGTGCGGGGCGTACGTGCTGCCACGTCATCGAGCCAAGCCCACGTACGTACTGTGTCACATATATCCATGCATGTGTGTCGTTATATATATATATATATTTATATATATATATATCGTAGAGAGCAATCGTTGGACGAGTTTGGCGAGCACACGTCGTCGACATTGCTGGACGATGCCAACTCGGTGCTGCTCACTGATATCCAGCACTCGATCTTTTGCGAAGAAGCATTCCAAACGATTATGACCGAGGTAGAGACATATATATATATACATAGTCGATGGACGATCGTAGGCGCTGCTGCCGTCGGCGCGATGGGTCGACTCGGCGCATCATCTGGCCAACTACGAAGCGAACACCGCAAGCAGCACTCCCCACAACGCGCCCATCTCTGTGGTGTGCATCAAGGACGACCAAGTGCGCGTTCGCATCGACGAGAGTCACATTTTGACCGTGAGTCTGGTCGAGTCAGAGGAAGAAGAGCGAGCGGAGGACACATCTCGAGCCGGACAGGCGGCCGCGCGGCTGCTGCAGGACGCGTGCATGTACGGCATGGGGCTGCTGCAGCACCAACTGCGGGCGTTCCATGGAGTGTGCAAGTCTCACTCCCATCGCCCCGCAGCCGCCAAGCAGACGCCGCGCATCCTCCAAGCCCTCGTGACTGTGCTCTCCCACAACCTCCTCGTAGCCCAACTGACTGACTTTCTTGACCGCCTGTCTGCGACACTGGCCGGGGGACCCGCGACCAACCACGTCGTCCGGCTGCTGGACGACTGCGCGTGCCAGCCAGTGTGTGACACTGTGCGCGGCGTCTTTTTGCTGGCGCGGTGGAAGATCTGTCCGCGCCAAGCGAGTCTGTCGTCGTTTGACTTGCACATTGGCAAAAACTTTGTCACAGGTATGAGTCTATCGTTGTGTATTGGAAATGTTTCGATTTGTGTGATAATGTATGTATACTTTGATCTTGAACATACGATATCTATAGTCGTGTGCCCAAGCCTAGAGATATTTTAGAGATATTTATGCTGAGTTGGGCTTAGAAATATATAATTGTACGTATTTGTACTTATATATATATATATGGCGTAGAGATCACCGTGATTGGAACGCGCATCCAGTACGTGGATTTGTCGTTGAACCTGCGCCAAGTGTGCGGCGGCGTCGACGGCTTCCGCGACTTGGTGTGCTCGATGCTGTCCAAGCACATTGCCGAGTGTTTGTACGAGGACGCGCTAGCGTTGGGCATGAAGAAGGCGTCCATGGACAACGACCACATGACGGTGCGCATCCTCGCGCCCGGCGAGTGGGACGGATCGTTTGTCGGCGAAGGCAAAGTGCCGGACGAGGCCACCGTCGGCTGCATGTAGGCCATTCATTCGTCTTCACGTTTGTATTGAGTCATCTCTTGGTGTCACTCAAGCCATCCATGTTGTTTTTGCCATTTTCTACGACTTGATGACTTGCACATAACGTTCGGGTGCCATTTTGTATGATGTTCTGTGGATGTAGTTATATATATACATCATCCCTTGATATATATATATATATATATATATATATATATATATATATATATATCCTATCATTCCACGTTGCTTGGGGCATTTGTTCAAGGTGATTGGCCACACACACAACATTCGAATGACGTTTTGTATGATGGTATATATATATATATAACCTCCCTTGATATATATATATATATATAACCCCCCTTGATATATATATATATATATATAACCCCCCTTGATATATATATATATATATATAACCTCCCTTGATATATATATATATATATATACTAGTATCTCCTATCCTTCCATGTTGTTTGTGATATTTGTACAAGTTGATTAAACATATTTGTGTGTGTCCTTTTCTATGGTGAATGCATGATGTCGATCCCGTTTTGAATGATACTGTATATATATATATATCATCCCTTGAAATATATATAAATCTCATCCCTTGGTAGAACACTACAACCGAGTGTGTCGGCCACTGGCCACGTCAACTTGTCGTGTGTGGTGCAGGCCATCGACGTGAGTGCCATCCAAGCGCACGTCATCGCAGACACGACGGACGCCGCCATCGACTGGACCAGTCTCCCCGGGCACAGCGACGCGGCGCGGTTGCTGTGGCTGCTGCGGAGTGTGGGGGTGATCACAGACAGCTTGAAATAAGCATAGTATAGCAACGACGCCACCATACACATACAGTGCTAAACACTAACTACTACTAGTATACTCGATAAGAAACACACGGCAGACCGATTTTTGTGATAGTGTTTGGTAGTACAGTGTACTAGTAGTACTATCTAAGGCTGGGATGGAAATTAGACGCCGATGCGTTCGCTTTTGGCGAGCTCGATCGCGCCCTTGATCATGTTGATGGATCGCACGCGGTCCTGCCTCAGCACGCTGAATGAGATGATGCCGACGAGCAGCCCCCTTCTGTCGACCGCGGCGCCCCCCGAGAAGCCATTGTCCAGTTGCGCGGCGGTGCGCAGCATGGCCTTGCCCACCTCTTGGCCGTTAAACACCTGCGAGTCGGTGCCCGAGCAGATGGCGTGGTGCACCGTGATCGTGTTATGGCCGCTGCTGGGGTAGCCAAACATCCACATTTCGTCGCCGGGCTCGACGTTGTTGGAGTTGCCGATAGGCACCGCGGGGAGCTTGACCTCGAGCGACGCCGATTCGACCGTGGTCCTTACCACCCACGTGCTGGCGATGCTGCGCTCGGTCACGTCGCCAATGTAGAGGCCACAGGGGGGATCGGACATGACTTCGCCGTCGATCCAGAGCAAGGCAAAGTCGAGCTCTTCCTCGCAGCATTGGGGGAGCGCCGACGCGCGGTACTTCCACGCGGGGGGATCGCTCGCCGACACGGTAGGCGCCACGAGGATCATAAACTCGTCGGGGTTGCGGATGCAGTCAAACTCGAACTGGTCGCTTACGAGGCAGTGCAGCGCCGTGGCTACGAGGCCCCGCTCATGTACGATGATGCCCGAGCCGACGTTGAGCAGTCGCCCGTCGCTCGTAAGCACCGCGATCCGGACGGTGGACTGCTGCACACGCCGCACCAGCGACGCCTTGTACTGCTTCATGTGGTTGCGGCGGCTGATGTACTGCGCCACGGGGGTGACGGGCCCCGCGGACGAGTACTCGTCATCATGCTCCCAGTCATCGTCGTCGGGGCCGTCGGTCGCGAGCAGCGCCACCGCGTTCATGAGCTTCATGCGAGGGCCGGCGGGGATGCCTAGGTCGCGCAAGTGGCCGGCGTTCATCATGCACAGCGCCTCGATGTCGATCTCCTCCTGCTCGAACAACGGCGTGTACTTGTCCAGGTTGAGTGACGCCAGTAGGTCCGCCATGGCCGCAAACGACTTCTTCTTCTCCGCCGTCAGCTGCGCCGTGCGCTGGGCGATCCACCGCAGCTCAAACTTCTTTTTCCATGGCAGGCTGTCAAACTCGATGCCGTGAATGTGCCGCTGGAACGTCGCGTCCGGCGACTCGGCCATGGGAAACGTGTGCGCGTACAGAGGCCGCCACAGCATATCGAGGGACGCGCGCTTGTACCAGTGCCGACAACACATGGACACGACGCACAGGTCGACGAAGTTGAGGTAGCTCAGCATACCGGCAAACACCCCGCGTGGAACGAACGCCTTGAAGAACGAGTTCGCGGGAGGGGCCGGGCCCACGAGCAGCACCTTGGGAAAACACAGGTCGCACACCCGCGACTTGTGCGTTTGGCCGTTGAGCGCCACGCGGTGGTTGGAGCAGCTTTTGCAGAACGACCACCCGCAGTTGCGACACCGATGCGATCGCTTCCACACGGAGAACTTCTCGCCGCATTGATAGCATGTGTCTCTGGATTGGAACGTGGCCCACCTTTCGTCGGACGATGTGGAGCTGAACGTGTTCTGCAAGCCAAGGGGGTCGTCGTTGTTGCATGAGTACATTGACGACGACACGGACCCGACGGACGCTTGGCGATTTCGCGTCGGAGGTCCAGACTTCCAGTCGGCCATGCCGCAATGAGACGTTGAATTGAGGAAACTAACGGAATTCAGCGGGAGTCACTTGGTCCCACGCACGAACAGAAGAGCACTCTCGGCGGCGGTCGCGTAGGCAGGGAGTGCGGCGGCACAACTCGAATGAACTGCTGAAATGTTCTGAAGGTCAGTACTACCAGTATTACTAGGAGTATCCATGAGTTCTTCCTAGTATGTACTAGAGCATTTCAGCACAGTCTCGATAGTAGTACTATTAATACTCCAGAATACTACTGAACCAGTAACATAAATTCAAGAATGCCCCTTGAGGTACTAATAGTATTACTATACAGTACCATCCATACTCTTGAGATAGCTTTTCCGCTCGAGGAAGAAGCATGCTCGTCGCGCCAAGTCCTTCGTCCCGATGCTGCATGGGAATGTACTAGCACTCAAACGTCCACTCCACATACGAACGAGGACATCGTTATCTTCACTATACACTGCTATGGCCGTCACGTATACACTGCTATGGCCGTCATGTCGTCCTCGTCTCCTATGCCTACACGTCGTCCTTCACTGGACAACGCGGCGAGTTTCCGCTTCGTCGAAGTACGTGGGTAGGACTTCGAACGGATGCAAGATGGCCGCCGCCACAAACATGTCGACCTTCTTCTGTGTCTGCGTGACGCTGAGCAGCACGGCCTCTTCTTCGCTCGCGTCGTCCATGTCGCTCTCGTGCACCACGACGCCCGACTCGCTGAACACTTGGCCTTGGAACGCCACGTTGAGCGCCTGCGTCTTGCTCTCCAAGTTGCTCACGTACGCCTGCAGCTGGGCATTGAGCTCCACTTGCGTGTTGAGCAGATGCTGCGTCGTCTGCAGCTGCGTCTGCAGCGCTTGCTGGGTCTGTTGAACTGACTTCGCCCACGAGTTCTACCCATCGATACATCACCATCGACCTCATGCAGCATTGCATCTACGTACCTGCGTGCACACGGCCTCCCGACTCTCAAGCGACCGAAGGTACAACCCTGGCCAGATGCTCAGCGTACTCGTGTGCCATCGGAACCGGAGCACCCGCGGCGACTTGGCGTCGGCGTCATCCGGCACGATGTAAAACGGATTCGCCATGTCTGGCAGGTTCAGATCGCTCCACACGGACGGACACCGCGCGTACGTCCGCGCTTTCTAGTCGTCCACACGTCACGACCACCCATTTACTACTACTAGTAGTCCTCGTACGAGTAGTAATACTAACCATCCGCTGTTCGTCGCAGTCAAACAAAAACGTGCCCGTGCGTCGAGCGTACACTTCGTCCACCAACGCAATCAAGTACCTAGATCAAATATCATATTATTTTCATCCAATACTAATATATTTATATATATATATAGAATCGCGATTGCCTTGGGGATATATATATATATATATATCCATCGATACTATAGCATGTATACTTACGTATCGTTAAACTCAAATGAACACGGGGCAAGCTGGGTCATCTGCCAGACGGCGTCGATAAACTGTACAAACACGGGGGAGCTCTGCTCGTCGTCCCAGTACCCGTGCTTCTTGGCGCCGCTCCTGTGGCCCGCCTTCATGCCGCAGCGCGAGTCGAAGCGATGGCCAAAGGACACCCATTCCTGCTGGACGAGCAGTGCGAAGCCATCCACGGTGCGGAAGTACGGGTCACAGCAGACCTTGACGAGCGCCGTGAGCTGCGCCGTCCTGTCCCATCCGTCTGAGCAGTGCACCAGAAGAGATGCCTTCTCCTCCACCAGTTTGTCTACACAGGTGGTCGCGGCTACCAGCACTGAACGGACATGCTCCAGCCACCGTGTGCCCTATACAATCCAATCTGGTCAAGATATATATATATATAGATACTATACAATCCACCCTTGTCAAGATATATACAGTATATACATATATATATAGATACTGTACAATCCACCCTTCTCAATATATATATATATATATATGTTGCTTCCTCATATGTAGATGCTCCATATCCAGACTGAAATATTCCCTAGTACTATATCCACGACGAATCGGATACATGGAAATATATATATATATATCCAAGATTCCACACATCAATATTGACAACGTTTCACTACTGTACTCTCTGTACGAGTCGTAAACATCTTCAAATATAATTTTGCATGGAATAAATATATTTGCATGCTTGTATATATATAATATATCAATTCTCACAAGTTCGTGTGAATAGAATTAATTATACCTCCAAGCAGGACAACCAGTTGGCCTTTTCGACGCCTCGTATTTCGCCCTTGACGAGATCAAAGAGTCGCCGGATCGAGTCGCGCATCGAGTGAATGTTCTCAATGTTCATGAATAGCACCGGTGCGTTGTTGTAGTACTCTGCACTACTCGCAAAGGATATATATATATATAATATTTCAACGACATTTAAATAAATATATATATATAATATTTCAACGACATTTAATTATATATATATATATTATAATATTTCAATGACATTTAATTATATGTATATATATAATATTTCAACGACATTTAAATATATATATATATAATATTTCAACGACATTTAATTATATATATATATATTATAATATTTCAATGACATTTAGACAACAACGTACATTTCAAAGCCAGCGCCCAGTGCCACGTTCCCATACGCACTCGACTACAATTATATTCCATCATGAGCGAGAGAGGTATATTAATAATAATCATAATAAATATATTTATTTGTTCTCCAACCTGGTGGCGACAGTCGATAATGTACAGACCCCCCACGGCATACTGCTGAAGGAACTTGACGTACAGCTCGTCCGACGCGCACCGCCGCCGTCGGAGCCCCACGAGCGGCTGCGCGCACCGCGCCACAAGTGCGTCGGTGGCTTCATGGCGGTACGTGATGGCAGGAACGCGGCCCCGGGCTCGAAAGTGCGCGATCGACTTCAAGTCCGAGTCCGAGATGTGCTGCGGAACGATCAGGAGCATGGGGTATGTGGCGCAGAGTCGGAACGTGTAGTTGACGCGCGTGACCCGGAAGCCGCCGGACGTTGGATTGTGGCGTCGCGACGGGGCCGTGAGCCCCATGCGCGCGCTTTCCGCGACTTCCAGATCGCTCCATGGATGGCGATGCTTCTCTTCGTCTTCGCACCGAGTCGACGGCTCCTTGGCGAATGCAATCGGAGCCGGTTGGTGGGTGGACTCCAAGCGCTCGACGAGGCGGGTGTGCAGGGTCCTACATGTCGTTGAATGTCATGAGGATGGAGGTTGACATTAAGTACATCGACGCCGACGTCACGCGCACGTGGAAGCGGAAGATCTCAAAGTTCTTGCACGCGACCTCCATGGTGTTGGACGCGTCGTCGGCGTCCTTCTCGGGCGGGGCGGTCATGCCCAACGTGAACCCGACCGTGTGCACGATGGCGCTGGACGAACGGGTGTCTTGAAGCACGATCTCGGCGATGTTGCACAAGGCCACATCCACAAATCGCGGGGATTCCTTCTACGTGTCGGAGTGAGTAGGGTGGGTGCGCAAGTGTGATATGATGGTATGTCGAACCGGATGGGGCACAAACAGGAGCCGGTACGTCGTGAGACATAGATATCCTCGCTCGTGAACGTTCTGATGGGAGATCTGCACAGCATGGACCTTGCACTCAATCGTTTCGCCAGAGTACAGGTCGGCAGGTTTCAAAGATACACTTTCGGGTGCAATGGTCTACCCACTGGTTCATGCGACACAAGAGCAAAGGGAAGGCCGTGTGTACCTCGCGGGCAGCTTCACATGTCTCTACAGCAGTCCATGAATCATCGTCGGTGGCCATCGACGTTGACATGCTTCCTTCGTTCCCGCAGCTGAATCACACTCACTTTCGATGCCGTGTTGGGAAGTTGAGGTAGCATCCAAAGGATATTTGGAGCGGAATATTTAATATTATATTCCTCGAAGTATGGATATTATGTTTATATATTTTGCCTGAAATCAACCGTTGTAAGCTTACCGGTACACAGTATTGAAATATATTATGTTGTCAGATATGATAAAGTTGACGGATATTTTGACTGTCCAAAAATATGTTTTGTAAAATCTTCACCTGGAACGATGGCAAGATAACAGAGGACAAGCGTCATATATGATGGATCGATCGCTGGGAAGAAGTAAGCTCATGGAGAGACACGAAACGTGTGCGCGATAATCGATGGAATGGAATACGCAGATTTAATGAAGCTCAAACTCTATTGTCTACAGAGCGTTTGGACTTCGATAGTGATACGAGGTGCTTAGCAGCCGGTGGATTTCTTGGTGGCCAAGATCAAGGCAACGATCAACCCGTACAAGCCCAAGGCTTCGGCGAAAATCAAAATCAAGATCAAACCCACGAACAGCTTCTCTTGTTGTCCCACGGCGCGGACCCCAGCGTCACCGACCACACCAATGGCCATACCGGCGGCCAAACCGCTGAGACCACAGCACAAACCAGCCGACAAGTGCGCGAAACCAGTGTACGATCCGTAGACGGTTTCCTTGCCGTTGGGCACGTCGATGGAGCCTTGGATAATCACGGCGACGATCAATCCGTAAATACCCAGCACACCGGCCATGATAACGGGCACGATGTTACGCATGACAAGTTCCGGGCGCATCACACCCATGGACGCAATACCGACACCCGACTTAGCGGTACCATAGGCAGCTCCCAAGTCTACAAGGACAACATTAGGCATCTGAACCCATCATGGGAGGGTCGGGTCGCATTGACGCTGCTGTCCTCGTCCCAACGACGAGGAAGCCAGCACCTACGACGACGCCGACGCAGCGAGTCACTTACTGGCAAAGACCAAGGCAGAGGTCACGCCCATGAATCCGAAGAACGGGGCAGACGTAGGGCACAGTTCCGACGCAAGTTGGGCAAGCATGATGATGCACAGGAACGGAGAACTTGCAAATTGGGAAGTGACTATCGCATGATCCAAAAACGGAAAAACAGCCACAAAACCTCCACCCCATACAAAGTCCAAGACATTCTCGGGGGTTTCAACTACGGCGAGAAAACTCCCAAACTAAATTTGGATGTGGCCACCTCTCGAGCGGGCATCCAAGCGGGGAATATTAGATTCCAGAGGTACCCTACCCCGCCCCCTTTCAGATCCCCGTGAGGAAAGTGATATGTTAAGTGCGATCTTTGCCACACCGTACAGTATATAGTACTACTATAATTGTGGACCTTACTACTAGTAGCTCCTGCAAGAAGTATCATACTAGAGTATTTCAACAAAGAATGTGTTGGGAATATAATGGAAACTATCACTTTTTCAAGGCAACCATCGTGATCACGCCGACGAGGACGACGAGGGCACCGACCCCAGCAAGCACAATCGTGTTGTCTGGGGCGGCGGCAGCAGCAGGGTCGATCAACCCGCCGAGGCGCTTGGCGGGCGACGGCTTTTTCCCCGGGGATCGTTCGGAAGAAGCCGCTTCGTCGATCTTGGAGAGTCGGCGGCGGCGGTCGTCCCCGCTTTCGTCGCCGACATCCACGACGAGCGTCAAGCTCTTCCACTTGGACTCGGACGCCATGTGCACGGCTTCCATGAGACTCGAGTCCGACGACACGACCGCGAGATCGCCCTCGTCGTCCTCGTACTTGAGCAAAATGTTGGCATCCCCGGCCAAGTTCATCTTGGCGCGGACTTCGTCTTGCAGCACCTTGAGGCTCTCGGTGCGGCAGCGGATGCGGTGCACATGCCCCTGGCTGTCTTTAACTTTGAACAAAAATGTGCCGGCGACCGACACGGCCGACGTGCTGTGGCTGATCACAGACACGGAGTCGCCCAGCTCCGAGTACATGCTGATGGCGTTGACAGATATGTCATTGTGATGATGGTGAAGGCGCCCCTCGGTGCGTTCAAAGTCCTCGATCGTCCCCACGGAGCAGGTGTCGTCCACGTCGACGTCGTCCCCGAGCTCTTCCTGCATGGCCATGGCCGACTGCCAGAAGGTCTTCCACTCGCTCGCGTCGGTGGACGTGCCGCCAAACTGGCCAAATGTCAGGCACAGCACGTCCGCCATCCCCACCACTCGCTTGGACACGGGGTCTACGATCGGTACAAACAGTTCGCGGGTCTCCTTCATCACTTGCAGGCCCTCGAGGATGCTCGCGGTCGGCGGCATCGTGATCGGGTGCGACGTCATCACGTCCCCCACCCGCGTGGTTTCCGCCGACAGCGACCGCGCAATCAACTTCTTGAGCAAGTCCTTGGGGGTGACCATCCCGATCACGACGTGGCCGTCCATGACGATGGCGGCGGTGCGGGACGACCCCATCATCTTGGCGGCTTCGCGCACGGGCGTCTCGATGCCGACGATGGGCGGCGGCATGCTCTTCTCCACGGCCATGGCCACCGTCGGCCGGCGCATGGCTTCGATCCACTTGGCGGCAGAGTCTTGGTGCCCCAGCCCCCGCTTCAACTCGCTCGCAAACGCGTCGGCCTTGGCCTGGCTACGCTCCAGCACGGCAATGGCGTCCTGCAAACACTTTGAAATGTCCAGCAGTCCCATCACGCGGCCGCCACTGGCGTCGAGCACCGGCAAGTGCTTGAACTGCCCTTGCAACATCAAGTTCAATGCGTCCGTCGCAAGGTCCGTCGAGCGCACACACGTCGGCGACTTGGTCATCACGGAAGACACGAGACAGTCGACGGGGTTGATGTCTTGGGCCAGCACCCGCCGCGTCACGTCCGTGGGCGTGAGAATCCCCACGAGGGACCCGTTGGCATCCACGACGATGCAAGCTTCGACCCGCGCCCGCCGCAGCCGTGTGGCGGCGTCCGCGACCGTGATGTGGTCGGGCAGCAAGATCACTTTGGTCGGGCGAAGGGCTTCGACCGTCAGTTGGCGCTGCGTCACCGCTGCCGGCTGCGCGACGGGACCCGCGACCACCGGCGCCGGCGCATCTTCTGCAGACAGCGTCATGTCCCAAAACGTGCGCCACTCTTCGTCGGTGCCCTTGGCAAACGACCCGTAGCTCAACGACAGCACGTCCACGAGCCCGACGATCCTGGAGCCTTGGACCACGGGCAGGTTGAGAAAGTTGTTTTCGTGCATCACATGCAGCGCATCCAGCACCGTCATGGACGGATCGACCGACTCGGGGTTCTTGGTCATGACGTCGGCGACGGTGGTCTTGGCGATGTCGAGGCCCCCTCCGACCACGCGGAGAAGTACGTCTTTGGGCGTGAGGATGCCAACTAGCTGCTTGGTCGCCCCCGTCACGACCAACGCCGCCTTGCGGGTGTACGCCATTTGTCTTGCCACGTGCAGGACCGAGTCGGCGGGGCTGACCAAGGGGGGGCCCTTGGCTACGTCGTCCATGTCGATGATCGACTGCAGCGACGGCGACATGAGCCCCCCCTGCTTGTTGTGCACACCCGACGTATCGAGGCGACGGATGGCGTCATAGAGGCACTTTTGAATCTTGAGCATGCCCACGACTCGGTGGTCGGCGTCCACCACGGGCAAGTGGCGGAACTTCCCCTCGAGCATAGTAAACATGGCGTCCATGGCGCTGTCCGTCTCCTGGACAAACTTGGGGTTGGCGGTCATGGCTTCTTCAACCGTGATGGACTCGGGGTCGTTGCCGAGTGCGACCACGCGACGGGTGACGTCTGTATCGGTGAGAATGCCCAGCAGACCGCCTTCTCGAGACACGACGAGCGCCGAATCTGCCTTTTCCGACTTCATTGCAATCGCCGCTTCACGGACACTGATGGTCGCGAGCACGGTCGTGGCGGGGGTCGGCAGCAGCTTGGACACGGGGCGGTTGTCGCCGGATGACCGCTGGTTGGACGAACTCATGCCGCCGCCCTTGGACTTTGCTTTCGACAGCAAACTCTGGCCGCTGGCCACGGACGCCGTGCCGTCGTCGTTGTCGTCGTCGACTTCCAACGAGGACTCCCAAAACGACTTCCAGTCGGTCGGGGTTCCCTTGGCAAACGACCCGTAGCTCAGAGACAAGACGTCGATAAGCCCCATCGCGTGGTAGTCGTGGGCGGATCGAACCACGGGCAGGTGCAGGTTCTTGGAGTCGTGCATCGCGTGCATGGCGTCGACGACAGATGTGTTGCCAAACACGACGCACGGGGGCCCCTCCAGCATGACGTCGATCACCGCCGTGGTGTGGATGGGCTTGGCTTTGGCTAGGACGTTCGCGAGCACTTGGTCGGGGGTGAGAAGCCCCAGGAGGTGGCCGCGCTCGTCCACCACCAGTGCCGCTTTCTTGGTCTCGCCCATCAACTTGGCGGCGGCAAACACGGACGTGTACGGCAGCACCCGCGGACAGCTCGCCGTGTCCCCGTCCAGGATGCTCTGGACGTCGGGCGAGAAGAGCCGGGACACCATCGGGCCTAGTCGCTTCAACCGGGGGTTGAGTGCCAACTCGCGGGCGGTCGACTTGGTCGTGGACTCGACTTTCCTGATCGCATCGTACAAACACTTGGCGATATGGAGCACCCCCACGACCATGCTGTGGGCGTCCACCACGGGCAGGTGGCGGAACTTGCCGGCGAGCATCGTACAGAGTGCGTCGATGGCCGAGTCTTCGTTGGTGACGAACTGCGGATGCGGCGTCATGATGGCCTGCACCAGTGTCGCATCCGGCGACAGGTTCTTGGCCACCACTCGGTTGGTCAAGTCGGATCCGGTGACGATGCCGGAGAGCGACCCCGCCGCGGAAATGACGAGCACCGAGTCGGTCTTTTCACGCACCATCGTGCGCGACAGTTCGCGGATCGAGATGGTTTCGGGGACTGTGATCGCCCTCGACGGTCGCAAGCTGGACACGGTGCGCTCGACGGCGGCCGCCTTGGCTGCCTTTGGCACCACCGACGATGCCTTGTGACCGGAGGAGGGTTGGTCCACTTGGAACGACGCGTTCCAGAATTCTTCGAGCTTTTCACGGCTGTCTCCGTAAATGATGCTGAACGACCCGTAGCTCATGGACAGGACGTCGACGAGCCCGGCGACTTGGCCGTTGGCCAACAGCACGGGCAAGTTGAGGCACCCGAACTCGTGCATGATCTGCATGCCTTCCAACACGGGCATGTCGGGGTCGCCAAACTCTGGATCCAACAGCATCACGTCTCCCACGAGCGTTGTGACAGGGTCCAGTCCTTGGGCAATCACCCGCAACGCCAGCTCGTTTGGGGAGAACAACCCAATGAGATGCTGGCCTTCCATGACGATCGCAGCCTTTCTCGCCTGCGCCATGGCTGTGGCGGCCGCTTGCACGGTGGTTTGGCGGGTCACGAGCGGCGCCACGGTCGTGTCATTGGTCAGAATCGTCGATAGCGTGATGGACGTCGACAGCAGCTTGTCTGCCATAATGGGGCCAGCGGTGTGCTTGGATTGGCGCGAGTTGTTTTGGTGCAAAAGAGACTGTTGGAGCGCTTCCGTGGCCGCGTTGGCCTGCTCGAGGCGCTGAATGGCATCAAAGAGGCACTTGCCGATGCTGAGGATGCCCACGACGGTACCTTGATCCACCACGGGCAAGTGGCGGAAGTGGCCTTCGTGCATGAGCACCATCGCGTCCAGGGCACTCTCGTCCGGACTCACATACTTGATGTTGGGCGTCATCACCTGCGACACTATTGTTTGCGACGGCAAGTTGGCCGCCACCACGCGCCGACATATGTCGTTGTCGGTGAGAATCCCGGCCAACGACCCGTCGCCGCGCACGACGAGCACGGCGTCGACTTGCTTAGACCGCATGACGTGACAGCAGTCTCGGACCGAGGCCGTGTCGGCGATCGTCTGCGCCGGATCCGGACGGAGGCTCGACACGGGCGTGGGTCGGGCCTTGAGCGCGTTTGGTTGCTGCTGCTGCTGCTTCTTGGCCATATCAGGCGGCGAGATTCGTCGCGACGCTTTCGACGCCTTGGACATGTTGGACGTGGTGCTGGTCACGGACGCATTGTCGTCAAAGTCAGCTTGGAACGACGCTTGGAGGAACTGGCCGTACTGGTCACCGTCGGCAGACGCGAACGCGTGACATGCCAACGACAAGACGTCGGTCAGACCCACGACTCTTCGGTCGTCGTCGACGATGGGGAGGTTGAGGAACTTGCCGTCTTGCATGATGTGGAACGCATCGATGACGGACGTCGACACGACCGCGGCCTCGGGGTCCGCCGTCATGACCCGGTGCACGGCGGTTGTGCTGATGGGGATGCCCATGGCAATCACGCGCACCAACACATCTTTGGGGGTAAAGATACCCAAGAGGATGCCGTCGGCATCCACGACCAGCGCCGCCTTGCGGGATTCCGCCATTTGGTAGATCACGTTGTCCAGCAAGTCGTCGGGGGAGACGACTGGCGGCAGTGCCGTGCTCGACACAATGTCGTGCAGTGTTGGCGACGACAGCTTCTCCAGCATGGGGCCGAGGATGGCCAAGGCGGCGCCGCTGACATGCAAGTCCTTGCGGAGGGACTTGGTCGACTCGTGCGCCTGCTCCAGCCGACGGATCGCCGCGTGCAAGCACTTGGTCACGTTTAGCAGCCCGACGACAGATCCGGTCGCCGAGTCTGTCACGGGGAGGTGGCGGAACCGGCCTTGCAGCATCTTGCGCAGTGCGTCGGTGGCTTTGTCTTCCGAGCCGACGCAGCTGGGTTGGGGCGTCATCACCGACGCCACAGTGGTCGACGTCGGGTCCAAGCCCTTGCCGATCACTCGTCGGGTGACGTCCGTGTCGGAGAGGATCCCTTCAAGTCGGCCGGTGGGACTCACGATGAGGATGGCGGCGGTCCGGTTCTTCTTCATGACCACCGCGGCTTCCGCAATCGTCGCGTGTCCGTCGATGTTGATCACTTTGGCCGGTCGCAAGCGCGCCACCGTTCGCGACGAATCGGCCTCATCGATGACGGATGGTTGGGACGCGAGCTGGGCCGCCGCCTTGTGGGACGACTTGGCCCTCGACATCTTGGACGACACGGAGAACGCTTGAGACACTTTAGACGACACGGAGAACGCCTGGGAGTGCGCCGACGTGGCGGATTCGATCGAGTTGCTCCGTGGCCGGCGGTTGTTGTTGTCTTGGGGGACGCGGTGGTGGGGGACTGGTGGCGCCACGAGGGGCTGGCTTGGAAGCGCTGCGACTGGCGCGCTGACCACGACCGTATTGGACGGAGGATGGTGATGGTGATGGACGGCGACGGCGATCGCCGGGACACTACTCTTCGCTTTGATTGTAGTGACATCATTTGTAGTGACATTGATCCCACCAGGGCCGACTCGCACGTTGCCACCACCAGTCGCCGGCGGCGCGACAATGGCCGTCACCGCAGGAGCAGGGGGTGGACTGTGTAGCGTCACCTTGGCAAGTCGGGATTGCACCACGTCAAGCTGGGCTTGGATCTGTGCGCACTTGTCAAACTCTTTGCTTTGCATCGCCTGACTTAGCGCCGTGTTCAGCGTGTACACTTCTGCCTGCAGTTCCTCGGGCGTCTGTTTGGTTTTGCGGACTTGCTGCAGCGTGTCGAGCTTGTCCTGGAGTTGGCCGCACAGTTCAAACTTGCGGTCGGCCATGGCCTTGACGATCTCTTCGTTCATACTCCGAATGCGCGCGTCCAGTTCGTGAGACTCGAGCTCGTTCAGGTCTTCCGGCATGTTGAGTCGGAACTCTTGCAACGCCGCGAGCTTGGATTGAACCACAGAACACTCGGCAAACTTTTTCTGGGCGGCGAGGCGCTCCATGTCGGCGACCAGCTGGTCGATCTCGGCGTCGACTTCCTTGGGCGTCCGCACCAACCGCCGCGCGTCCAGCGTCGCGTCTAAGTCCTTCTGGAGGGACGAGCACACTTCAAACTGCTTTTTCGACGCGGCGACTTCGATGGCCTGTTCGATCTCGTGAATCCGGGCGTCCAGCTCCTTTGGCCCCAAACCCGCGAACGGATGCAGCAAGTCCTGCCGCCGGACGAGGTACCCCCGCGCCACCGCTTGGAGTTTAATCGCGTGGTGGACTTCGAGGCGGTGCCGCGCCACGAGCTTCTTGTACTTGGACCGGGCGGCGTACCCCCTCGCCATCTTCATGACCGTGTACGCCGCCGACCGAAGCATGCCCAGCTCCTTCTTGGCGCGCCACCCCCTCACGGCGCTTTGAATGACAATCGCAGCCGACTTGCGCTGCAGCACCTTGTGCCACCGTTGGAGCGTCCGCACCGCCGAGAGCTCGCGCAGGACCTTGAGCCGCTTGAGCTTTTCCGCCACCGATCGCTTCAGAAACACCTTGGTCGACCCCATTTGCCACTGGTCCTTGCCTTCGTTGAGCATCTCCGAAATGGACGACACCAGCTCCCGAATGTCCTCGGAGGCTGGCGCGAGCGCCAGGTAGTCGTAAAAGAACACGTCGTGGTCTTCGCGGAGACCAAACCCCTTTTGCCGGATCTGGATGGCCTCCATCATGCCAGAGTACTTGAGCTGCCGCACGCACTGCGCACCGTCCAGCGTTCGCGGCCGCTTGTCTTCGTTGGGTTTGAGGCATCGAATGTATCGAGGCGTCGCGCGCGAGATCTTGGACATGAGCTCCTGAAGTTGGTAGCGGAACTGTGCGCCCACCGAGATCTCCCGCAAAGTGCGGGTCTTCTTGTCGCCGCCGCCGGCAGCGGCAACGTTCTCCGAGGGGCGGCGGGAGACGGCGTTTGGCGCGGCAGGTTTGTTGGACGCACGGCGCGAGATGGACTCGACTGCCTGCAGATTCGAGTCGACCATCGACGGCAGCCACGAGTTGGTCGAGAGTTTGATCAGGTCCTTCATGTCATCGTTCAGGTCTTCGTTGTTCTTGTCGTTGAACCCGCTAGCGTCATAGATGACGTCGCCCGCATAGTGGCGAATGCCAAATGCAAACGCAGCGTCGACTTTGGGCTGGATGTACGAGTCGTGGTGGGTCACGCCAAACGTCGAGTGCAGGTAGCTGACAAACTTGCGGTTGGCCTCGTCGCCTTTGATGCGCCACACGTCATCGAGCGCGATGAACACGCCGGGCTTGCCGCCGGGCTTTCCCTCGAGAAGCTCCAGCGTGCTTTGGTTGTCCTGGAACCGAATATGCGCCCAGTCGATGCCTTCCCGCGTGTACTCGTCCTGCTCTACTTCGAGCATGTGCTGGTTAAAGTGTCGCTGGAGCTTTTCGTTGGCAAAGTTGATGCAAAGCTGCTCGAACGTGTTCCAGTCGAACTTTTCAAACCCGTAAATGTCGAGCACGCCGATGAACCCCCACTTTTGCGCCGGCTGCGAGATCGTTCGGTTGAGCTCGGTCACGAGCCACATGAACAGCGACGAGTAGATCGTCTTGGCCAGCGCGTCCCGCTTGTCCCGCGCCTGGGCGGCGTTCTGGGCCTGCACGATCACCTTGCCGCCCACAAACAACTGGCGCGTGCACAGAGCCGACTGCAGCGCGTCGTTGGGGACCTGCAGCAGCGACGCCACCAGCTCGAGGCACGCCGTGGACGCGGCGCTGCTGGGGACGCAGTGCTCGGCGACCACGTCAAAGTCGGCATTTCCCAAATGTAAAATTGCCGCCTACATATACATACGAATTCATAGCATGACCATACTGGTGCTGTTGTTGTCGTCATAGTAGGATGATCTACTAGTAGCTACTAACTGTACCAGCATCTCAAACACGTGCATTTGCATGTCGTGGGAGATTCCAATCGTGCTCATGCAGTGCGTCGTGATGTTGAACTCGTCCTTGTCGTCCCTATGTACACGGTTAGCTATGGCAGCAATGCATGGTGCACGGGCGGACGTACTTGGCAGGCAGCGAGAAGCATCCGCTGTGCTTGAGGTATTCGTAGTCTTGGGGCGTGGTGAGATGGAGGCGATGCTTGAGCGCGTCGTCGGCGCCGGCCAGCAGTTGGTAAAAGATGTGGTAGTTGCGCTCGTCGAGGCTTTGTGTGACAATGCGCGTCTTCTCGAGCAGAAAGTTCATGATCTCGGCGCCGGCGATCTTGCCGTGCTTGTCGAATTGGATCTCAATGAACTTGCCAAACCGACTCGAGTTGTCGTTGCGGAGCGTCTTGGCGTTCCCAAACGACTCGAGCAACGGGTTTGAGTCGAGCACCTTTTGCTCGAGCGACACGACGCCGTTGTTTGTGTGTCCACTGGTCGTGACGCGCGCCAGGTACTGCATGATCACTTTGGTGGTTTCGGTCTTGCCCGCGCCGCTTTCGCCGCTGATGATGATGCTTTGATCACTCGGACTCGTGGCACTCGACAAGATCAACTCTTCGTACGCAGACTTCATCGTTTCAAACACGTGTGGCTTGTTCCCAGTGTTGCTCGAGTGGTATCGATCCATGGTGCTGTCCGAGTACAGCCCTTCGATGGTGCGGTACGGGTTGATACTGATCAAGATCGGGCCGACGAAGGTATAGATAATGTCGTGGTCGTAGCGACCATGGAGACTGCGCAGGAGGTTCTCTTCCGACAGGTCCGACATGGTCAAGAGGTCGTCAATCTGCCACGACGCATCGGCGGTCGACTCCTTCTGCTCCTTGGCCTTCTTCAGGCGCTCGGACCTCTTCGTCTTTGCGTTGGCCTTTTGCATGTCCCTTCAATGTATCGACAGCGCCGGCACCGTGTTTCTCCTGTCACCGCTACTGACGTAAAAACACAAATCCAGTTCGTGGTTGACCACGACGAAAGGGCCATGAGAGCTATTCCGACTGAGTCGGAACTATTCTGAACGTATCTATCTAGTACTACTAGTTCCCTCACCCCATACATTTCCGTTCATCTGGACTAGTAGTACTAAACCCCCTCGAACCAACAGTCTGCCACCACGGCGTGGCTATGCACTCCCATGCCCATAAACACGCAAGAGATTTCAAATGACTGTGGAGTACTACTAGTACTACTATCATCAAACTCACAATACGGTACCTATACAGTACCCGTAACTATTACATACTACAGCCCTCTTTCGTGTACTACGTAGTAACTCGTGCAGTACGTCGAGACAGGAAATTGTAGTACTACTAGTACTAACGTAAAAGTCCAATTTAAGAATACAGTACTTTTTCCGACACGCGGCATGTAACTCGACTCGTAGGTATCGGATTATAATTCTAGAATTTGTTACATGAAGGCAAAATCCAGGCCTATTCGGGATTTATGCGATATGATTCCTGTTATAATTCATTGTCACTCACATCACTTTGTCCACAAACAGCTTAAAACAAGCGGTCCAATTTAAGGTGCGCCATTTTAAGCTTAGTCTTTGTATACCCATTTGCATACTTTTTGGGCGGTTAGGTTAAAAACTGCCTTTGTAGGAATTGATTGGCTAACTCGCGTGACCACCTTAAATTGGACTTTTACGTTACTAGTTCGATTGAATACTTCAAAGTATTAGTAGGATATATGGATTAGAAATGTTAGGCATGGCGACGCTGGTGGTGCTTGGTCTGCGGCGCCATGCTGTTGTGGGGGGACTCAAACGCCTTGTACTCGTCTTGACCGAGGGGCGTCTTGATGGACGACCGCCGTGTGGATCCGCCCCGCGCGCGCAAAAACGAGTGCGACCGCGACGTTCTAGCGTTGGCCGCGTCGTCGTCCTCCTGGGCCTTGATGGCCGCTCGCTCGCTCACCTTTTCCCGCTTGAGCTGGATCGCGCCGTGCTGGTTACTCGCGCAAAACAGCAGCAGGAACGCCGTCACGACCAGCGCCAGTACCGCCAGCGCAATGTTGCACACTAGGAACGACGGACGCAATGCAAACACGACCGTCTGCGCACCGTAATACGCCATAAACGACACCGCAACAAAGCGCAGCTGGCAGCCCGCGGGGAAAAGCTCAATCGCAGTCAGCCACGTACACGTGGCCAAGCTAAACGCGACCGTAAAGTACAACACAAACAGCACCACGTCCAGAAACGAACTGGCCACGCTCGACTTGATCTTGTCTAGCGCCAGCGCAGCAATGGCCATACCAGCCACGATGGGCAAAATGTCCTTGAGCAGCGTCTTGCGCCGGAGTCCGTCGATACTGAACAGCCCGATCATCGTCCCCAGCAGGAGCATGAGCCCAAACCGCCACTGCCAAGGGGATGCCGGCAATCCCTCGCCATTATGCGCCACTTGCACCGACACGCGGCGCAGGATCGAGTTGGACATGGCGATGCCGTACATGATCTGCAGCGCCACCGTCAGCACCACGCGGACCGGCATGCTGGGCGCGTCCTTGGGCCAGATGGACAGCTTCAAGTCGTCCAGTTCCACGAGCACATCGTGCTTTTGGCGGAGGCGGACGAGGGTGGCTTCGGCCGCCTTCTTTTGCTTTCGGCGGTACAGCCACACGGGGCTCTCTGGGAGGAAGAAGGCGCCGAGGACGAGCGGGAGCAGCGGCACCGCGCCGTAGATAAAGTGGGTGCGCCACACGTTCGACGGCTTGGAGCTCCAGTCTTCGTCCAGCTGCGCATAGTTCATCTTGTACAGCAGCAGCGACTCGACGAAGTACCCGATCGCACTGCCAAACACAAACATGACAATCGACTTGCACTTCCAGTCTTGCGTGCAAATCTCATAGTTGTACAGGCACACGCAGATGCCGAGCATGGCAACTCCGCCAGAGGCCACGCACAGACCCACCACGACCAGCATGCCCGACGTGGACGACGCCGCCAACACCGCGACGCCCCCCAGCGCCACCACGCCCGACACGATGATCGAGAGGCGGCGCCCCAGCGCAAAGCACAGCAAACATGCGAGCGCGACCCCCACCAGGGACGCGATCCCGCCAAACATGGACAGATTCGCCTTGAGAAACTCGGCCGACAGCGACGACCCCTTGGGCAAGTCCGCCTCCAAAAAGTACTTGAACGACTGGTTGACCATGTTGAAGCTGTGTTCGTTGATGTACCCGAGCGAGAAGGCCGCGCACGTGAGCCATCCGTGCGTGAACCCACCAAAGATACCAGTAAACATGCTGATGGTCGCCGCGTACTCGCCGCCCGTGGACAGAGCCTTGGAGAAGCCTTCGTTGTACATCATGCGGGTCTGGATGGTCGCCATGAACGGGATGGCGGAGAGCACGACGAGCGGGATCAGCAGCAACGCGCCCAGCAACGCGTCAAAGAGGTACCCCAGTTGCTGGACGAGGCCCCACTTGGACAGTGGCAGCCCCAGCACTCCGTTCAACAAGACAAAGTACTGGAGGATCGTGTACAGCCCTGCAAACGTAGAAAAGAAGAAGCTGTAGTGCTTCGACCCGATCGTGCCCCAGTTGAAGAGCACCCCAAGCAAGATGATGCCGCCAATGGACCCGCCCACGGCCACAAACACGTACAACATGCCTCTGTACATGCGGCCCTTGTTGCCAAAACACATTGTCGAGATAGACCCGACGACCCAGAGGGCGATGGCGATCGCGCCCGTCGCGGCTAGCAGCAGCCACGAGTCCTTGGGCTCGAAGTCCCGCGTAAAGATGTAGTACACCACCAGCACATGGCGAAACTCGCGCAGGGCATACGACACGCGGGACGTCCACGAGATGTTCTTGTACAAGTCGGTTTCCGACTTCCACCACGCCAGCCACGAGTCCGACTCGACGCTCAAGTCGTCCGACGACGGGCTCGTCGCGAGCCATGCAAACCAGTTGGCCACGTCCACCCGTGTCTTGCTAAAGTCAAAGCCATCCGTGTTGAACAGGAATGGCGCCATCATCCAGCACACAACCAGCAGCCACACGGCAAACGACGCAGCGCCGTACGACTGCGGCTTGTCCGAGAACGAGTTAAGGTTTTCAATGTACAGCGGCACGTTGTCCACACACACAGCGTTGGGATAGCAGTACTCTTTGTACGCGCCCACGCCAAAGTCAAAGGTCCCGTACACGCCAAACAACACGGTGAGCGCCATGAGCTCCAGTGCCTTGCGGTAATGTGAAGCCGCGTACTCCTTGAAGAAGCTCACAAACGTGCTGCGCGTGATCGCAAACCCGCGCCCCGTGCCGCGGTACTTGGACCCCCCTCGCTGGATTGCCACGTCATAGAAATGCGCCTTGGTCCCCGTCTCAAAAATGTAAAACACGGGCCCGAGCGTGATCAGGAGCTCCAAAAAGTTGAGTACTGCTTGGCGGATCCCCATCTCGACCACAAGCGTCGCCATGAGGGGGATCGTCATGAGCATCCCAAACTGAAAGATAAACTGCGTGTTGAGTACTTGGGCGAGGTTGTCAAAGTCGGCCGACACCTTGATCACTTCGAGCTGCACCTCTGGGTGCAGGGCCACGTACAGTTTCGAGTACGCGTACACGTACACACACACGACCGTCATAAAGTTGGCAATGTAAAACCCCATGTGCGAATAGTACATGGCGTTGAGGCGGAAGAAGTCCATACCCGTGCCCATGCGATGGGCGTCGCGGGCGAGGGAGCTCTCGGCGCTGCCGTTGGCCAACTTGGCTTCAAATGCATTGATCTGGCTCAGAGTCACATCGCGCCCCTTGCCGCACTGCATAAACTCCAAGTGGATGACCTTTCCGCCCCGCAGAGCGCAGTTGTACCCAGCAAACACATCTTCGCTCAGGTTGATGCCCTTGGATGCTTTGGACACGCCGCCGTTGGTCATGATGTACAGCTTATCAAACACATCCGGGTGCCCGTAATGCATGCGCGTTTGCAGGGGATTCGCCATCACGCGCTGCGTCAGACTCACAAACACGAGCTCCTGCAGCGTCATGAACCGCGCCAGAGACGAAGCCTTGGCCGTGAAAATGTGCTCCTTCATGCCGATGATCTGCGCGCCGCGGCCCGACGCCAAAAAATTGGGCATCTTCAACGCTTCCTCAAAGTAGTGCTCCTGGTTCATGTCGATGGTTTGGAGGTACTCGCCGCGGGTGAATGGCAGCGCAATGTTCTGATTCTCGGGCTTGCCTTCGCCCACAATCGGGTGCCCCGGCAGCTCGTACCGGTACACTTCGACAATCTCGTCGCCGTCCGACTTGACGAGCACGCAGTCGAACCGGTCGCCATCCACCGCCTCCACGAAGCTCACGCGCCAGTTGGTGTACTTGCGCATGAGCAGGTCAATGTCGGCGGCGCGGGGGTCGTTCTGCTGGCACTGCTCAGAGTACATCTGGCACGACGTAATGTACGAAAACTTCATGCCGACAATGTGCTCCATCTGCTGGATCTTGTTGTCGTGGGAGATCGCTTGGTCGCTGCCAATCTCGAGCCACCGCAGCATCTTGATGGCGTCCTCGTACAGCATCATGCCGTGGACCGTGCGCGCCAGCGTCTGCCCGCGCATGGACGCCCACAGCCGCACCTGGATGGGAGACATCACCAGCGCTTCGTCCATCGTCGTCGCGTTCATTCGCTCCAGAAAGTTCTCCCATTCTTCCGGGTGCAGCGTGATCAGGTACTTCAAAATGCTTAAGTCGGCGCGGCCCACCTTGTTCTTGGTCGCCTTCTCTTCGACTTTGCGAAACAACGGGTTCAAGTCCACCCGGCCGTTCAATTCTTCCAGTGAGTACAACACTGGTTCGTTGTAGTAGGGTGTGACCACAGAGAATGACTGCATCGACTGGATCGCGTCCACTTGGGCCATCGCCATATTTAGCGAGTTGAGGAAGAAACTCATGCGACGCTGCGCCTCGGCACACCGCGGCAACGCGTCGGCAATGTCGAGTGTGAGCAAAAAGAACAGCCGCGTGCAGAACGCCATGGTGCTGTCCGCCGACCCCGTCGACACCCGGGCACCGTCGTCCGCGTCGTCATCTGCAAACAGCGCCGCCATCAGGTGCAGCTGGTATGATTTATCCGGACTCGACCGGATAAATGCCGACGTCTGCAGCTTCTGCACCACCCAATCGATAGGCAGCACCTGCTCGAGCGTCGCAAACAGATGCTGCACGCGCTCCGTCACGACGACCACGAGTTCCCGGAGGACTTCGACGCCGCCGTTGTCGTCGGACGGCTCGGGCATGTCGAGCAGACACGCCAGCAGATCCACCACGTTCTCGCGCAACTGGGGCACGTGGGTCATGTTGGCTCGTTGCAGGGCTTCGCGGGGGTTGTCCAGTACAAATGAGAGCACGTCCAGCGCAGAGTCGTCGTTCCCGAGCAATTTCTGCAGGATTTGCATCCCCAGCTGCGCAGAGTTGGCGGCCACGTCCAACAGCCCATCCTTCTCGAGCGTCTTTTGCAGCTTGGAGCTCCACTTGCCAGCCTTCCCAATCACGTCGCACGCCGTCGACGCCTTGCCCGCCAGCAAAAAGATCGGGTCATCCACCTGCCCAGATGACGAAATCTGGTACTGCAAGATGGCCGACTCGCGGTGATCAATCAGGTCCGATAGCCGAAAGCTGCTCACACACTCGTTCCAGACCACCGAGAACCGCAGCCGCGCCTGGGTCTCTGGGGAGCTCAGCTTGGCGTCGCCGCCCGTCAGAATCCCGCGCGCCACCGACGACACAATCTTCTTGTCAAACAGCGATGGCGCGCCCTTGAGGCGGGCCATAAACTGGTTCACGCGCGACGAGTGCCCGATTTTCATCCGGATACCCATATAACCCCTAAAATTAAATATTAATATCATTATTCCGTGACAACCCCCAACAGATAATCGTCTTACCCGACAATCGATTGGAAGATGGCGAGCCAAATCTATGTACATGTTGGATAACTCGTCGTATATATATATATATATATATAGTGTACCTGGGTGTCGTACATGTACACCAAAATCATGGGCGCCCACAACGCAATGATAAACGCGAGATTGTGATACCCCGGCACCAGTCCTTTTTTCTACAAATCGCACCATATCACAAAAAATATAGATATTATTACAAATCACAAACAATATAGATATTCTTTCCAAGTCCAACAGCGTCACAGATATCAAACTCGTACCTCGACCACGTCCAAGTCGAACAGTTCGATGCTGGGAATCACAAGCGGGCGGATCATGAGTTCAATATTGAAGAGGAACTTGAGCCCAAACAGCAGCCCCCAAAACACGCTGTACTTGGCAAAATCGCCCAACTTTTGGCCCATATCGCGGCCAATGTACTGGTCGCGGGTGCCCTGGAGCACGTTTAGCCACGACCACTTGGCCGTGACGCTCTTGCACATGGTCAGCAGCGCCGCGACCACGACCGGGAGCGCGTAAATGCCCGTGATCATGGCGCCAGACTGCAGAAACGTCTGGTTCAGAACGGGAACCTTTTCGTTTGGCGACGTCACAAAGCAAGTAAACACCCCCAGGAAGGCCGCGTGCCACATTATGCGGCAGTACAACGCGGCCGCGTACGCCTTGTGGCTAAAGATGAGCACGCCGTCGATCCACACCTGCAAAATGACCTTGAACACGGACAGCCCGGCGTACGTAATGCCGACGCTGAGGAAGGCCTGGTTGCGCAGGTTCGAGATACTCGAACTGAACATGTTGTTGTACATTTCGAACCCCTTGGTCTTTTCGCTGCGGCTCTTCACGGCCACGTACGAGATCGCAATGAGCACATGGAGCATGACGAGGAGGAAGAAGAAGATGCGGTAGAACGCCAGGAATGGGTTCAGAAGCGACCGGCGCTCCTTGAACGTCTTGGCCTCGCGGTGCTCGAACGCGCGCGCGACGTTGGTCTCGTCAAAGCGGAGACACTCTGGCTTCCAGAAGAACTCGTTCACGTCGTCGTAGTTGGTGACGTTCTTGTGGTCCAGAGGCGAAATCTTGGACTTCTTCTTCTGCAGGCTCGGGTTCATTTTGGCCACGACCGTGTACATGGGCTTGACCACAAAGTTCAAGAACGCATTGTCCGCCGGGGCAAACTCGGGCTTTTGATGCGCCGTATCGAGCTTTTCCAGACGGGTCGCCATTTGGTGGTACAAGAAGCACAGACACTCGGGCATGAAGCGCAGGTTGCCGGCTTCCCCCCAGATGAGGAAGAACAGCGCAGCCTGCGTTTCCAGGTCCGACACCCACTTGGGCTTGATGCTTAGAAAGCGGCACCACTTCGTGTAGTTCAAGAACACTTGCTTGTGGAGCTGCTTGAGCGCGTCGCCGGGCGGGTCCGCGCACCCCTTCTGGGCCAAACGAAACTGCTTGTTCGCGAGCAGCACGGCCATGTGCTCCTTTTGGTTTCGCACGCTCGCTGGTTGAAACCCAAGGAGCCGCTGAAGACGTTCAAATACGCCGCCATTCTGGCCATTGTCCAGGCGCATCACGCTGCGCCGAAGGTCGGCCTGCAGCATCCCGTGCGACGCATCGTCGTCGCCAAAGCTTTGAATGTCGAAGTAGTTATCCTTCGCCGCTCGGCGCGAAGACCCTTTCTTCCGACTTGATACCCGGGACTTCTCCCGTCGTTGTTGCGTGGCCATCGTTTCTGATCGAGACGACGATCCTCCGCTTCCTTGGACGTGCCAGGGAACAAACGGCAATATGTTGATTCTTGCCCAGAGACTACAAGGGCTCGTCCGGATACGACGCTTCGATGTAACCACATCGAAGTTCGAAGAACATTCCATACAAACTTGAAGAGAACCCAATTTCAGTTGCAAGTCACAACACATTACACTCGTTCAAACTTCGCTGTTTTCGAAGTACCTGCCAACCTTTGGAGCTGTCGGGTCCCTACAAATCACTTCTGCACTGTATACATTACCCATCATGCGATCAGAAGGAGAAGATGGGTATCCGGATAAACAGAGCGTTGTAGTACTACTACAGCCTACTACACCGCGTACTAACCACCCAAGTGATGGCGGCGATCATTCCGCCGTTCCGGTTCACGACCGTGGAAACGCGCTTGTACCGAGGAGCATACCCCACGCTCCCCAACTTCCGCTTCTTGCGCAGGCTGAAGCTGAAGACGCTGGTCAGTGTCATCCCTGAGCCACCGACCAAGGACTTGGTGGACTTCTGCGCTCATGAAGGGATAGTCCATCACACGTTTCACGCAGAGAAGTACTCCAGTGACTCGGTGACCGTCCCTCCGTCTACAGTGGTTGCCATCTTGCATGTACTCTTGAGCAATGAGAATCTACCGATCTACATTCACTGCCTCGACGGTGCAAATGTGATTGGCATCGTCGTGATGGTGTTGCGGAAGTTGCAGAATTGGACCAAGCTCGCAACCCTGCAAGAGTTTTGCCGATTTACACGGGACCATTCCGTCGAAAAGGACGAAAGCGAGTTCCTGTCGACGTTTTCAGCAGAAATCACGGTGCCCCTGCAAGTGCCACGTTGGCTATGGAATGGAGTGCGCATTCAGGTACAGTATCCCTCGTATACATGTGTATTTGGATGGTCTTGATCCAATTGTGTTCTGTAGAAGCACCCCACGATGATCATCACCCACCAGACGACACCCCAACTGACCAAAGACGTGCCCGTGGAAGGAGACATGCCGAGCACTCTCCCAACCTTTGCGACTCCAGTGGGGACTCAGAACCCCGACACAACGACGTACGATGGGATTGTTGGCCATACATATAACCCCTGTCGTAGGAGCTACATTCCCGACACTGAAAAGTCGGACCCCGCTCGCCCCTTTGACGACCGACGAGAAGATCCGGTCTTGTCCCAAGAAGATTTGGACCTCCTGTATTACCACCAAGATGGCGCGGACGTGTCCATCCCACGGTCGTTGTCGGCGCTAGATTTAGCTGGGGTATAACCGTGCAAACCTCGATGGAAACCGTATGCTGTCTGGCGCGTTGGAGTTCTAGCTCTTCAATAATGCAAATTCATTGTTTAAAAATTTCTCAGGCTTAAAATCGAGATGAAATGCATGTCGATTCGTGAGGGCGAAATGCTTGCGACGTCTGCAAGGGGGAGGTTCACCTATTAGTAGGACGCGATGCATTCAAGGGGGCAGTGGAAAGGTGTGCCTCTTGCATTCTCGGCTCAGGATGATGACCCTTTAACATTGCGATCTTGTACGGATACGGATATTAATCCGTACAGGGCCAACCAATTGGTTAGTAATACTACGTGCATGCTAGTAAGTGGGCCAAGATATGTTACTATTAATATTAATAGTACTGGTTCGGCCATACTAGTACTACCGTAGTACGCACTTCACACTACTGTACATATTCGTATTACTAGTAATAGCTTCGAAGTATCCCGGAACAATAATCATTTTTTTATGCTTCTTTTCGTCGTGGCGTCATTGCCCTCTCTTTCCCGTTTGATCGACGTCATCCAGAGCAACCATGCTGACGAACGACAAAAATGTTGCCGACAAGTACCACCTATACGTATTGCAGGATACCTTACCTTTAAACTACAGCCATGCAATGGCATCTCAGAACCCATGATCTCCATTCTGCTCTTGCGTGTGGCCATCAACAAGGTTCCTTTATTGCACAGGAGCAAAAGGGGATTCTGACTCCAGAATCAGGATTCTGATCATCTACTTCGTACTAGGTTTTTACTGTTCTGGTACCAGTAATCTAGTGTTCTTAATCCGGATTCTGTAATAAGTTGCACCGAACACGATTTGGAACTCTGCATTTTAGAATCGACCAAATGCAATAAATCACAAGAATATCGTGGATGCCTGGTATTGTCCATCCAAATCCTGGATATTGGATCTACTGCGTTATCATTGGATCTATATCATTGGTCGACATGGGTTTTGCTCCTTTTTCATTGGCTCCACTATTTATGCCTGCTGTTTTTAGGCATATTTCAGTCAGATCAAACGATATAACTACCGTACTGTACTATGGTGCACGTCATCTAAAAACTTCCAACTACCAGTACCAGCCTCCGGATACTATATACGGATAACAGTCAAATACAAAAATCAAGATACTGTACATCCCAGCGGCCACCCCTCCTATGGCCAAATATATCCATGCTGTAAAATACTGCTAACGTTAGGTTAAATATCTATTTCTGGACCAATTAATCACCAAATTTGAATCTGAGACGTAGAATTTCTTCACCACATTAGATCTTGGGATGAATTAATGCCTTCCTGTTCGTTGACATACATATATTGTGTATAATAGGGGTTGTCTACATTATAACCGATCACTTGGTTATAGATTGAGCAACTGATCAATTGGTGTATGTCTGACTTGAAGTATGACAACTATCCGATTGAGATCTGTCGATTCTACGTCTCAATTTGCTGAAATTTGGAGTAATGAATGCTTCGAAGAATGAAATAGAAGTCAGAAAATTTTATGAAAAGTTGGTAGTTTATAGGTAACGTGCACCATAGTACCATAAGCTTATGCTATTTTGAGAATTGACCAAGTACTCTGACCGAAATGTTGCAGCACGTCATGCGCGAAACTACAGTAACAGTAATGTTAGGCCATGTCGATGCTTTCTTGGCGGCGATTACGCGGGGTTTCCAGAATACCCGGTACGACGCCTTCCGCTGCAAGCTTCGTGCGCGATTGTAGTGTGATCATAGACGAAGATGTACATGTAACTACATATTACTTCATCACTGAAGATCCATTCCATGTTGCACCGACTTCTTAGGGTTTTTTGACAAACACATTCCAGTATTGAGTTGTGCAAGGATGAGATACAACTAGCTGCGTGTATCTATCTGAGTCTACGTTGCTTTTGTCAGTTGCATTCACATCAGTTGTTGACAGTCAATGTACCGTTACTCGATGATGCGGCGATGGTATCCCTCACCCCTCACCGCCGATCAAACCGAGGCCAGCATGTCCGCGCCATTCACAAGTTCAATATCAACTCAAGATTGAGCTCTTGAATGGCGCGGACATTCTCTGCTGTAAATAGGAAGGAATGTTGCAAGCGTCGTCGTTCTTGAGGTGATCTGCGCACACATATGCTGCTCTGCTGACCAATTCCCCCTCAGAAGGGGTGCCACTCCTGCTGGGGAACCGAAAGGTAAAAATGTTCTGGGGGAAATCAGAAATAACGGATAATCAACCGGATGCACGCACATACTCCTTGTATACAGTAGTACTAATCAATCCGTCCAAGAAACCGTCAATATCGATGGTTTCTGTTTTTGTCAATCGAACACAAACAATCGGATTCACAGTCAACAAAAAGCTTGGTGCATCTTGGTACAGTAGGCCATTGTAGTGCTACTAAATGTGCTACTATTAATATTAATACATTTGCCACAACAAGGATTAGTAGTACAGAAATATATTGGATGTTTGCGAATCTAACTGAGCAAATCACGAAATATACTGGCAGTCCACGAAATATAATGAGTGAATTCGACTTTCCCACGAAATTAAATGCCGAAGTCGCGAAATATAATGAAGCAAATTTAAATGGGATTCCACGAAATATACCAGATATTTTTCGAAATTAACCGCAAAATTGTGTAAAGTAACAAATTATCCGCATACTACCACAGTATCCGGCACTGGGAATTCATTTGACGTGGGAAGATAGTATTCCAAGGACATTGGTCGACCACGGTCAGGACTCTGCGCACGCGGCATCGTCAAGGAAGGGCGTTGCGACGAAAATGAGCACTCAGGACGAATGGTCGTCGTTCAAGCTTGTGGACAAACACGTGACGTCGATTGCACCCGAGGCGACGTTCGATGCCAAGTCGGAAGAGATCAAAGAAGACATTTTGCGGCTCATCGTGCAGTACCTTCAAAACGAAGGCTATACGAGTGCATCGGCGACGATCTTGGACGAAGCGAACGTCAAGATCATGGAGAAGCATCAAGAGCGAGAGATGGTGCGTAAGATCAGCAAGAGCATCAAGGAAGGCGACTGGGACTTGGTCGCGAAGATGATCCACAAAAACTCGAACCTGCGCAAGGTCAAGTTCCATTCACAACAAGGTCTTGGGTTCCTGTACGCCGTGTGCAAAGAAGAGTACTTGGAGCTCATCGATCGACAAGAGTATCAGAAAGCATTCACGTACTTGACCACGCACTTGAAGCCCATGGAGAAGGTCAGCGGGCGCCAAGAGTTCAAGGACCTGTGCTATCTGCTCACGTGCAAGTCCATCACCGAAGTTGAGTCGTTTCGAGACTGGGAAGGCGTGGTCAAGTCACGCGAAAAGCTGGCCGAACAACTCAAGGCCACTTTTGAGCTGGACGCGGTGCCCACAGAGAACGTCAACATCCCCGACAACCGCCTCGTGAACCTGCTGCATCAGAGCGTCGCGTACCAGATGGAGTTCAGCCGATACCATCCCAAGACCGTGCCCAAAGTGTCGACGCTGCTGCGAGACTTTGAGTGCCAAGTGCTTCCAAACGCGGTCAAGACGACCTTTGTCGGACACAGCCAAAACGTCAAAGTACGTACGTTGTGCACTTGTTTGGCTGATATATATATATATATCAATAGTCTTGCATTGTTGTGATATATATATTTATCTAGTGCGTGACGTTTGTGGGCCGCGAGGGCACGTACATTGCATCAGGGTCGAGTGACAACCTGATCAAGCTGTGGAGCACCGAGCCGCGCCACGGACAACCCATCAACACGGTGCGCCGATTGAAATATATATATAATGAGAAGACTTGATGCGATATATTTCGTGGCAGGTGGCGTGGGACTTGCATGGTCATTCGTCGCGTATATGGTACTTGAGTGCCAACAGTGCTGGCGACCACGTGTACTCTGCGTCGGGGGACGGCACAGTCAAGGTGTGGAACGTCCGGAACGCCATCTCGTACTTGGGGGACGTCGACGGAGCCAGCAACCCGCCGCCGTCCAACAACTCGGACTGCATCTCTACCCTCACGGGCCATTCCGGCGACGTGTACACGGTATTATCAATATTTATATATATAAATTATCACAGGTCAACACCCACGGGATGTATAAATTTTCACAGGTCAATATCCACCCGAACGAAACGCACTTGGTCACGGGCGGGTACGACCAAACGGTGCGGCTGTTTGACATCCAAACGGGCGCTGTGGTCAAGGTAGTCGACTACTAGTAATACTAGTACTAGTACTAGTACAACTCTCGGTGACGATAGTAATACTAACAATGCAATCTATGTAGACGTTCGTTGGCCACAGCGCGTCCGTGTGCGACGCGCAGTTCAATCGGCATGCGAATCTGGTCGTGAGCGGGTCCAAGGATGGCACGGTATGTTGTTGAAGATATATATATAAATATATTTCGGATATTGATAGGTTCGGTTTTGGGATATTTTGAGTGGGCTGTGCGTGCACACGGTGCGGCAGACGCTGGGGGAAGTGACGTCCGTGTCGCTATCATCCAACGGGCTGTTCGTCCTCACCGGATCGAGGAACAACAGCAACCGGCTGTGGGACATGCGCATGCTCACGCATCCCCGCACGGCGTTGTCCACGAAGGACACCAAGAATCCAGCGCCGTCGATCGCGACGGAGCAACGACCTTTGCAGCGCTTCAAGGGACATCAAAATACGGCCAAGAACGTGGTGCGGGCGTCGTTTGGGCCCAGGGAAGCGTTTGTGCTTGGGTACGTGCGTCGTCGAGTATGTCTTTTGGGAGGTTTTTTTTTTGCCGAGATTTGGGAATGTAGTGGATCGGAGGATGGGGCGGTGTACGTGTGGGACGTGGCGACGGGTAAATTGCTGGAAAAGTTGCTTGGCCACAGCGGCGTCACGTACAGTGCCAAGGTAACGTACACAAGGAATTCTAGTGTATGGATACATATGGGGGTTGTAGTGGCAAGAAAAGCAGGCGCTGATGGCATCGTGTTCGCACGATGGAACAGTCAAGACGTGGTGGTGGCACGAGCAGCAAATGCTGGCCAAGAAGAGATAGACTGGTCGTCTTTGACTGTGTCTAGTACTACTACCAAGGATCAAGACTACTAGCGTTAGTTAGGATTTTATGCATGAAATGTGATTCTTCTGCGTAATACTACGCTTTCAAGTAAGTGGACTTTGAGTGTGTTTGCAATCAGTTTTGATGTTGATCACCACAGGGGAGGACATCTCATCTAGTATGTGTAGTAATAGTACTAGTAATAGTAGTAAGTCCAGTAATACTACGTTGTACTAGTAGTAGCTTACTAGTACAATGTAGTATTACTGGACTTATTATTAATACTATTAATACGTAGTAGTAGTAGCACTGTAGTACTATCCGTACATGGACTTTATTATCCGGATACGCCGCCATGAAGGACATGGACGATGGCAGCAGCAGCAGCTCGTCGTTCGACAGCGACGACGAGGGAGACGTGGGGGAGGAGTCGGTCGAAAGCTCTGACAAGCACAAACTCGTCATGGAAGCAGTGTGCAAGAGCTGTGAAAACCCCTACGACTACAACCTTCACCTCAGTGCGCTCAGTGCGTTGTCGGGCGATCGTGTGTATGCGTCGCAGCTGGAGCAACAGTTTGAGCGCTTCCACGAGGCCTTCCCACTGTCGTTGGAGCTGTGGCTGCAGTACATCGAGCTGAACCCGGAGAAGCTGCCCGAGGCGTTCCAAGACTACCTATTGCCGGCCTTGTACTACAAATACGTCGACGATTTGGACGACGACGATGCAAAGGACGCGGAAGTAAGGTGGTCAGTCGTGCTTCGTGCGTTGGGCTCCCACTGGACCGAGTGCGAGAACGTGTACCACTTGTACCGGGCCTTCCTCACGGACTCCATCGACGACGCCGCGACGCTGAACGCCCGCGTCAGGTCCAGCTACCAAGGGCAATTGTTGAATCCGTACTTTGAAGGCAGCGACCGCGTGCTGTCCGAGTACCGCGCATGGAGTCAGTACCAACCGAACCCTGCCGACTTTACCGGCGAACAGGACTCCATCCAACGTCGCATCCACTCTGCCAGCCCCCTTCTGGCCAAGATGCAGACCTTTGAACGCAACCTGGACAAGGCAGACGCGGCAGATGTCAGCGCACTTCAGACATTGTGGCTCGAGTACGCCAACTTTGTCGTGTCCCGCGTGAGTACATTGGGATGCGGTGTTGTGGTCTCGGTGCTGGAGCGCAGTGTGGCGGCCGTGTGCTTGAGTGGCGAGCTGTGGGGGCGGTACCTGACGTTTCTGCAAGACAAGCGCATGAAGTGTTTGGACGTGGCCAAGCGAGCCGTGCGCAACGTGCCGTTCGAGTCGGCGCCGTGGGTGGCGTTGTTCGTGTCGATGGAGATGGAGGGGTCGACTTCTGCCGAGGCCATTCATCAAGTGGGCGCCGACTTGTGTGGACGACAGCCGTCCCCACTGGACCAGGAGAAGCGGCTGGAAGTGCTGCTCGCGTTCTGCGACGCCGTGCGGCGATCGGGATCGCATGAGGTGCTGCTTCAAGCCTTCACGATGTCCAAGGTACCGATCACGTCATCATGTTGACCCTGAGACACCGTTAGGCCGCAATGGGGGACTGGGTGGTGGGGAAATGCGCCTTGTTGATGTACGAGTCCAAGTGCGAGCCCATTGTTCAACGAACGAGTGGACTGCAGCCAAGGTGGGTCGAACTCTGGGACGAAGTGCTGCAGCATCGCAGCCACGAGGTGTGTGCGTGGCAGAGCTGCATCTCCGAGTGCCTTCGCGTGGGAGGAACCGTCGAAGAGACCCGCGGGTACTTCAAGCGCGGCGTGGCGGCAGCGACCGACTACCCGGTGGTGCTGGCCGAAGCGTGGGTGGTGTTTGAGCGGGAACTGGGCGATCACGTCCAGTTCTGGATCGAAGCCAAGCGGCACTACGCACTGCTCCTTCGCCAGTACTACGTGTCAGAGGTTAGTTCCTCCGACAAGTCGGAGAGCAGGAAGAGACTCTTGGCGGCGGAAGATGGATCCAAGACTGGGAAGAAAGAAGTACTGGACAGGCGACAAGCCGAGTACAAGAAGCAGCGCCTCTCGGACGACACCAACAAAACTGTGTTTCTGTGTGAACTGGACAAGGCCATTACAAAAGACGACCTGCTCGACCTGTTTGCGTCGGTATGTATGCTAGTAATACTAGTAGTAGTAGTAGTCAGTGACTAGTATATGGAGTAAATGGTTGTGTACGTAGTGTGGACACGTGACGGACGTGCGCATGCTACTGCGAAATCGAGAAAGCCAAGCGTCCAGAGGCATGGCCTACGTTGAATTTGATTCAGAGGTAATATCTATCTATAAATATTACCTCTATATATATATATATATCAGGAACCTGACAATACACTCCACCTAGGCGGGGGCCGAATGTGCGTTGAAGCTGGACAAGCAACCGTTCCACGGCACTCCACTGAACATCAAGCCATCCCACCCGCCCACCAAGTCTGGTGTTGCATATTGCATGATGGCACTGACTAGTCTCATGCAGGAAGCCGCCGGTGGTCAAGGACGGTGTATGGAAGACCAACGGGTCTACCATTTACGTGAGTGGATTCGGCGATGCGACGTCGGAATCGTCGCTCCTCTCTGCATTTGCAAAGGTACAATAGCGATAAGTAAGTGTTTTCGTCTCATGTGGTGATGTTAGTTTGGAAATGCCAAGTCGGCCATGATCTTGGGGCGAAAGCAAAAGAAAAACATATATGGCCTCGTCGAGTTTACCCCCGAGGTTCGAGCCATCGCGTATTCAATGCAGGAATCATCATGGGCATGCTAATGCTGCGTCGTAGGACAACGTGGACGCCATATTGCAGATGCTTGGCAGTACCAATGTCCATGTGGACGGCGCCAAGGTGCTAGTAAAGCGGGCGCGGTTCAGCGTCGTGGAAATGCTAGAGCAGCAGGCCAAAACCAAATCCACCCAGAAACAGCACAAGAACAAACCGGACCAGCCCAGAGCTGCCCTGCCAGAGTCCGACACTACTATGCACAAGAAACCAAGGTATATATATATATTGTGGATTCAGTACAGATTTCCAGACCCCTATGTCGAATCGAATCACGAATCGACGCTATTGGCTAATCCAAAATTTTGAGTGGATTTGATTGGCTCAAAAGTCATGTATATCCTACCAATTAGAACTCCAACGGGATTCAATATTGATTAGTGCGAATTTCGGAAGTTATTGGCGAATTTTCAAGATATATATATATATATATATATGCAGGGCTCATCATACTATGGTGTACTAGACTGGCGTTTTCAATGGTGCCACGAAGCCTCAAAGCCCCGAAAGTGAACCAACCATTCCGAGATGATGGGCAAAGTGGTGGCACTCGTCCGGTGGTGGTGGCGGCGCCACGTCATGAAGTCGACCCAAGTACACACATGAAATCCAACGACGAGTTTCGCAAACTGTACAAGTAGTTTAGCGTTTAAATACTTGAGAGTTTCAAAAATGCAAGTGTTTCGGCGTGCGTTGGCATGGTCGCTCCATCTCGTTGCACGCAAAGCGCGCTGCTGGCTGCCGCGTACCGCAAACTCTGCGCGACAGTGGCGTTCTGGGCGAGCTGGGCAGCGAACGCTCCTCGAAAGCAGTCGCCGGCGCCTGTCGTGTCGCGCACGGGGACGTCGAACGACGGCTGGACATGCACGCTGCCGTCCTTGGCGATCAAGACGGAGCCGTCGCTTCCGCGAGTGACGAGCACGGCCATGTCGCCGCGGCGCTGCAGCGTTCGGGCGGCGTCCAGCACAGCGTCGAGGGTGTCGAGGGCGTGCGGTGAGTGGACGCAGCGTCGAAGCTCCGTTTCGTTGGGGCACACATAGTCCACCAGTCGGAGGAACTCGTCGTCCACGTCGCGCTCTTCGCCGCCCAAGTCCCACAACACAGTCGTGCCGACCGCTTTGGCGTGTTCTGCGATCAAGCGGTTCACGGACGCTGGGATTTCACACTGCAGTAGCACGACCGAGGCGTCACTGACGCTTTGCTGCATCTGTGGCGACAGTGCCGCCGGCCACACTGCATTCGCTCCAGGTAAGATCACAATCGAGTTGTCACCGGAGGGGACCAAGAAGATGATCGCTTGCCCGGACACCGTTTGGGTATGAACTGTACTGGACGCGTCAATGGTGACGTCGGCCCCAGCCAGGTATTCTTGCATTAGCTTGGCATGATCGTAGCCAAACTGGCACATGAAACTCGTGTCTACGTTGGAGCGCCGTGCCGCCACAGCTTGGTTCGCTCCCTTCCCGCCGACGAGGCATCGCGATCCCGTCGCTGCCAGCGTCTCGCCGAGGAGGGGAATGCGAGGGACATCCAAGAAGATGTCCGCGTTGATGGACCCCACGACGAGTACTTTGGGTGTCGTCATGTGGAACCAAAGATGAAATTGCCTACTACTATTATTAATAATAGTACTAACAGTAAATAGCAAGCAGATGAGGTCCTGAGGATTTTTACAGTACTGCAACTAGTAGTACTACTAGAGGATGTGTGACGGATACGGATAATTAACCGGTTGAACTTCTCCCTATTCTTGGCACACTTTTGTAGATTTCGAAGTGAGCCCAATGATGAAACCCACGGCCCTCCTTATGGCGCTTGCCGCCCTCGTCTCGTCGTCCGAGGTCTTGATCAAGTTCAGCGAGTCCAACCTGGTGAAGGGATCGGAGGTTAAATCCTCCGCCGATGCCAGCACCATGTCTCTCACGCGCCTTGCCATGGCATCGCTCGCCCTACCTCTAGCCGTCGTCAGTCAAACGGACCAATTCCCCGTCGTCGCCGACTTGTTTGCGCACACCAACGCGTTTGGTTTCATCGTTTTGGAAAACGTCGCGACCGACGTAAATGTGGACAAGGGCGACTACGCATTCCAGAAGACCGTGAATCTCCAAGAAGCATCGCTGAGTCAATTGCCGCATCTCGTGAATGCCATGGCGGAAGGGCTCAAGCAGAAGCACGCCGACAACGTCGTCGCCTGCATCGGGGAATTGTGCAGCTTGACGAACGAGGCGCTCCTGGCCGCCATTCCTGCGTCTTCGTCGAAGGAAGATGGCATTTGGAGCTCCCTTGACCTGCTCGACCGAGAAAACGACGCGGACACGAAGTTTGTTCAAGAATTGGCCAACGTCCATCGCATCGTGGAGACCCTCCAGACTCACCCTCGCGAAGCTCACACAAAGGGCATCTTCGTTGCGTCCATCGCCGACCTCTCCGCGTTGGATCCCTCCAAGCAAGCGTCGGCCCAATCCGCTATTCAATCCTCCGTAGAAGAGTTTCAAGCGGCGTTGAAGGCGAAGTATGGCCAAGTGGGCTTTCAGATTGTGAAACTTTCTCGGTCGATTCAAGTCGACCCAAAGGAACTGACAGCGTTAGTCCGCCAGCTGTCTCAGAACGGGGTCGCCCTTGCTGCGAACGGGACCAACGGGACCCTACCAACCCCGCTTACGATGGACAACATCGCAGAGTACCAAGTCATTCTGTGGACCTCGGTGCTGCTCGTCAGCATCGCGTTCTTCGCCGTGACGGTGATGGGATCGATCGACGCCAGCCGCGACAACCTGCTGTACGCCAAGTTTCTCACCGACCCCAACGGCCGCAAGAACGACTAAGGCAATTAGGTGCTCTAATAGCGATGCTAACAACTATATTCCTTCCCTTGTCTTCCATCGCATGAGGATTCGGCTCCTGCGGGCGGCACATGGATCTAAGTTTCCAGATTTGGCTACGGGGTTGTGTTTCGAATCGAACAACTGCTGCTCGTTCGGACGTGCTAATTGGCTAATATTCAACGATTGAAGCCAATCAAATACTCCTAAAATTGGATTAACCAATCAGTGGCTGTGTAGTACTACTAAAAAAAAGGAACGAATCGAAATAGTAGTACTACTAGATCCGTGTATCCAAAGCTGCGCCACTCGACGAAAGAAAGGGTGGACGTTGCGCGATGAAGTTTGGGAAGCAGTTGGAGCTGACTGCGAATGTGCAGTGGCGCCAGTACTACGTGCAGTACAAGAAGCTGAAGCGGTTGATCAAGCGCGTGGCGTTCGAGATCGAGCGCGGGCAACGCAAACAGGAGAAAGTGGACAAGAAGTCCAAGACCCAGGGTGTCGCCGACTTGCCGCGACCACCGAGTGTGACATCGTTTTCATCATCCGACAAGTCATTGTCCTTGACGTCCAGTGGGAAGAGCAAGGCCAGGGCATCGCAAGGGGGGGGGGACGAGTCGACGCCGCTACTGTCGCCCCAAGTGGACTTGAACCTGGACAACATTGAGGACGCCAAGCGCGAGTTCTGGGACATGACCAACGCCAACATCGCCGACGCCAACGAGTTTTACCGCAGCAAAGTAACGCACTTGGCCAAGATCGTCAAGGACTTTGAGAGCATGCTGCGCGACGAGGACAAGGAGTCCCACGGGCACGTCAGCTCCAAGCCGCGCACGACGTCTCACGAAGTGGACCGCGGGTTCGCCGGGATCCAGGACTGCTACGACACGCTCATCGATCTCAAGCAGTTCGTCAACTTGAACCACACCGGGTTTCGCAAAATCGTGAAAAAGTTTGACAAAACCACCGGCGGCGACACGCTCGACGCGTTCGTCAAGCAGCTCAACCACGAAGAGTTCTACGCGTCCCACGACATTGACGCGCTGCTGGAGCGCCTTTTCTCGATGACATCCAAGTAACAACTTTTACCTCATATGAGCGAATGACAAGGGGATGTAGGGACAAGCTGGAGGCGGGAAACTTGGAGCAGCGCATGAAGCGGCAGCAAGGGGGCCAGGACTCGCTTCTCCGAAAGGTATGTGCTCGTCGATAATGGTGGATGAAACATGTGTTGTCATAGGTGAAAGCGGTGCCGTTTGTGATTTCGTGTGTGCTCTTTGGGTTGTTGCTTGCGATCCCGATTCCCGGAGGTAGGATTCATAGTATATATATATATTATTGTATTTCAAGAAATATATACTTATCAAGCCACTCGTGTGAATGAATGGTAGAGAAAGGAGTGCAGCAACGCTGCTTGGCCATGCTCGTGTTTATCACGTCGCTGTGGGTGTCGGAGGCCCTTCCGTACTTCGCCACGTCGCTCTTGGTGCCGGTTCTCGTTGTGTTTTTGCGCATTTTGAACGATAAGCAGCACCCAAATGTGCTATTGGATGCAAGTACGTCTCGTATATATATATATATGTTGTGCTTTCGAGTGAAATTTCGTTGTGGCGTGTTTTTTCTCGTTGGAATTTAAATCGATTTGATTGGCTACCTCAGATGAGGTCAACATTATTATCCAATCAAAACCTTCTCAATGAAATTCAACCAATCAGATCGATTGTGGAGCGGTTTGGTCGGCGTGATTCGATTGCATCCCCTCCCCAAATATTTGTATATCAAATCGACAATATATATTAATATATATTTAATTTGGTCGATTGTAGAGAGTGCGGCCAAGGAAGTTACGTCGCTCTTGGTGAACCACACGACCATTTTGATCATGGGAGGGTATGCATACGACATATTACTCTATCTCGTGAGATATATATATATTTAAATATTACGATGGACGTGGCAGGTTTTCGATTTCGGCTGCGCTGTCCAAGTGTCAGATTGAGCTGTACATTGCCGCCTTCTTACAACGTCGCTTCAAGAAGAGTCCCCGCCTGTTCCTGCTCGCGATCATGCTCATGGGGCTGTTCTTGTCCATGTGGATCAACAACCACACCGCCCCCGTGAGGCAGTGTGTCTCGGTATGTGCTATATATATATATATATATATATATATATTAATATTTTCGTTGAAACCAGGTGCTGCTGCCAATCATCCGAGACTTTCCGCATCACAGCCCGTATGTGAAGACGCTGCTCATTGGACTCGCCTTTGCGTGCAATTTGGGCGGTATGATGACCCCCATCGCATCCTTGCAGGTACACGAGTTATTTCGCATGATTCTTGTCATATTTACAATAATATATATATATATATATATATATATTATTTATCTTTATTCTATGAATAGAACACGCTGGCGCAATCGTACTTGGATAAGGCGGGGTATGTCGTTTCGTTTGGGCAATGGATGATGATCGCAGTGCCATTTTGCATCCTGTCGACTATTTTGGTACGTTTAAGAAATATATATTTTTTCTATATTTCTTTGATATATTATTATCTTTGATAGTGCTGGCTGTTCTTGCTGTGGGCGTTCAACCCGTCGGACGTCAAGTACATTCCTCAAATCGTGTACGACCAGAAGCAGCGCGTGACCCGAGTGCACGTGGCCGTGGTTCTGCTCACAGTGTCGACGATCGTGCTGTGGGCGCTGTTCACACTCATCGCCCCCACAGTGGGCGATATGTCCATCATCTCGCTTCTTCTCATGGTACAGATATATATATATATACTATTAGCTCACAACTAGCCACTAGATCAGTTTGTTTGGGACGGGGATTTTGAGTCAGTTTGACTTCAATTCGTTCTCGTGGCACATATTGTTTCTCATTGGCGGGGGCAGTGTCTTGGGCGAGGTGCGTCATATATATATATTTATATATATATGACACTAGACGGTAGGCGGTGCAGCGCTCGGGGCTACTCGGGACGTTGAGTCACTCGCTGATCCAAGCGCTTCCAAGCGGCAGCGTGTGGCTCACGACTGTGCTGCTGTGCATGCTCGTGCTTGGGCTCACCACGTTCATTTCGCACACGGTGGCGTCTTTGATTCTGCTGCCCATCATTGTGCAGCTGAGCATTGAAATCGGGCAGCCCCAAATCCCCGTGATCAGCTGTGCGTTGGCGATATCGGCAGGTACTAATATATATATATATATATATATATCCTCAAACGGATGTGTAGCCATGGGCTTGCCGTTTGCCTCGTTTCCTAACATCAACTCGCTGCTCGTGTTGGACGACCACGGCGAGCCGTACCTCGAAGTCCAGGACTTCTTGAAAGTCGGCCTCGCGTTCTCGCTCTTTACAGTGGCACTTATAGTGTCGCTTGGGTACTGGCTGATTGTACTCGTGCTAGGCGACAATATAGCTTCCGTCTAGATGCATAGATAGTTGTTACCAGTCTATGGCTTTAATCCTGATCAGTCGTAGTGGACATGCCGACATTTACATTTTGACGAGTTGTGTATGTACTGACATTTCGCCGGAGGACTTCAGAAACCGGCGCAAACTATATTTCGAGCCGGTGCCGGCTAAAAATTATCCGTGGCGAAAATATGATTAATATTAACAGTGATGTCCACAGAAACCGGCGCAAATCAAGCAGGGCCAAACCGATCCAAAAGTGAAAATTTCAGCGGAATTCACAATCACTCATTCATAGTATTTGTAAGGGGCTCGCTCTTCCAAGATCATCCGTCTCGTATTGTCGATTTGATACAAATATTTGGGGAGGGGGTGCAATCGAATCGCGCCGACCAAACCGCTCCACAATCGATCTGATTGGTTGAATTTAATTTAGATGGTTTTGATTGGTTAATAATTTTGAGCTCATCTGAAGTAGCCAATCAAATCGATTTAAATTCCAACGAGAACCACGCCACAACACTCGAAAGCACAATACTTTAAACCCAAATGATTTATCGTCGTACTTGAGATGCAAAACTGAACTTCCTCACCTCCGATTGGCGTGCAGATTAGTGGAGGTGAAAGAGAATAATCTGAGCATTCTCGTCGAATTAGTTGGTAAAATATATGTGCCAAACTGCTCCGTGGCTCACATTTCAAAATTCAATACAAAATTAAAGTTACGAATTTCTCCGTCGACCTTACTTTTGCAATTGGCATGGGAATGCTATGCAAAGGCAGGAGTTGGCACCGCGTTGCAGAGTAAACTGGCCCAATGTACGGTGTGGTTAGCGTTGTTTGCGTCATTAATGACTACAGAACTCATGTTGTTGTACCAGTAATGTGTTACGCAGCGAAACCCCCGTGAGGCAGTGTGTCTCGCCCTTCGACGTGCTTGCTTGCTTTTCAAGTGTACGCGTACCCCACACAGTTCGTGCAACTTGCAGGTGCATCGAAAGTTACGAATTCGTCGACCTTGACAGCCAACGCACAC